TTTTGAATTTCTCTGAACCCACTAATGGATTTATCAATTTGGATCACACACTCACTGAGAGAGAGTTTGGGAGAGTTGGTAAAGCTAAAAAAACGTGTGGGTTCACCAACAAAATCAGCAGCCTCCTAAGGTGGAGGCTTGGGGTATTTATAGCCCCTTTGAAAAATTAGCCGTTATGTAGCCATTGCATGCATACCGGACACGTCTGGTATGACTTGCACTGCGCCAACGATAACTGAGTTAAAGTATGCGAGGTGTCGGAACTCCCGACGCTTACCGGGACTTTCGACTGCTGGAACCCCGACCAACTTAAGTCAAAACTCTCGACCCTCGGCTCGTAACTAGTTGTTGGGCCCTAGTCGGCCATACCGGACACGTCCGGTATTAGCTGGATAGTGAAGCGCGAGACGTCGGAACTCCCGACCGTTGGAACTCCCGACGAATCAACCCGAGAACACCAAAAATTTTGCCGTGGCTGGGCAAATACCAGACACGTCTGGTATGCCAGACCAGCAAAAAACCAGTTAGATCTTTTGTCTCTCAAATACTCAAAACTCACATGGGTTGACTTGAGCACTTATGAAATATTATCTATCAACATGTTGCATCCCTCTTCATAGTATGACATTCCTATTAACTTAAATTTAAATGTATAACGAATTTAAACCTTTTGAGTTGATCTCTTTCAATCAAGCCGTGTATTCCAATCTTCATCAAGTGAGGGTGCCAACATGTCAACTTTGATCTTTTTCACTTGAGTATAGCCATCTTGAGCACGTGATTTGATTACATTCATCAAATATAGATAATCCCAAATGTATCAAGTCACTTCCATCAAACACTCCAATAGTGATTTGATCCTCCACATCAATCTAACCATCATAACTTGATTAATATCTCAACTAAATGCAAGTATTTCATTCTTCACCCTAGCTAGGTTCTTCGGGCGTCAAGCCATTGCTTGCCCTTCACCCTTGCTTAGTACCTCAAAACCTTTTCTTGCTATCTTCACAATCTCAAGCCATCAAGTCACATCTTGTGTTGAATCATCTATTCATTTATATTATTATCTTTTTATTTCAATTTAGCAAGCTTCAAATATGAGATCATTCTATATGCAATCCATCATGTCTCATTAATTAATTTTTACCGTGCTTGCTTACTTTTACATGGAACATGGAAATCTCACAATAAATAAGTCTCTATATGAATTCCATTTGCATTGTTATCTTGTGCTTGACTAGATTGTTTATACAACAACATATTATTTTGGCTTTATACAATTTAATCAAGTATTTATGAGATAATTAATTTTTATCCAACATTTAGTGAATATGTTATATCTTTAATTGTGTTATCGTTCAATCGTCCACAAAACCCAGTAAAAGGTAGATGCACTTTCACCGGTCTCTGTTTCTTTCCCCGTCGCTATCTATCCGTGATCAATGATCGTTCCGGCCTTCCGGGTCGCTTCCGGGCTCTAATCACCGGCGACAAGTCGAGCGCCTGCACCCTCGCACCAAAACTAATGCGCATATATAGCGCCCCCCACTAGGCCGCTGGAGAGCACTGAACCTGTTCAGTATTTGTGTACTCCGTGAAAAAGGGTGACTTATAAGTTTTAAGCAAGCGCGCGCACAGAGATTTCAGTTACTTTTTAACGCGCGCACCAGCAAGGAGAGCTGAACCTGCATGGACGCGACGGCTAGCAGAGCCGGTGATCAGAATGAGCAGCGACGGGCAGAGGATGATCAGAAGGATGACGGGGCCCAGGAAGGAAGCCCAGGTGAAGGTGTCGCTGCTCGGCATGTTCAGGTACGCGGACCGCCTGGACGTGCTGCTGATGGTGGTGGGCGCGGTGGCGGCCGTGGGCAACGGCGTGGCGGGGCCCCTCGTGACCCTCCTATTCGGCAAAGTCATCGACTCCTTCGGCGACAGCACCACGCAGAGCATCCTCCGCAGCGTCAGCAAGGTGAGTGCACCACTGCGGCTCTGTTCTGCACCGGGGAGTCACGCTCACACGTCAGCCTGAACCGCCGAAATCCTTTTTTTTAGAAGACCACTGATGAACACTAGTTATTTTCAAAAGACCATTGATGATCAACCAAATCTAACAGTAATTTTTCTTCAGGTTGTTCTGGATTTCGTATATTTGGGCATCGGAGCAGCTGTTGTTTCATTCCTTCGTAAGTGGAGTTTTTACTCTGTTTTCGGATTCACTCAAAGCTTTGTCATTGAAACTACAAATGTGGGGAAATGAATGCTGCATGGAAAGAGTAGTCATATGAACAATAGAACAGTAAGAATTATTCATATGAAATACTCCCTCCGTTCCAAATTGCAAGACGTTTTGGCTTTCTAGGTGCAGTACATGTTTTTTCCTATGCACCTAGATACGCACTGTATCTAGATACATGTAGCGTGATAGTTAAAACAATGTATCTTTGATGAAACCAAAACATCGGTGTGTTTGGTTGCCCTCCTCGCACCTTTTCGAATCCTTTCATTCAGAGAGTATATCAACACTTCCCTCTAAATGAAACTGATGGCGCAAGGACAACATCATCAAATATAGGATGCAACCAAACAAGATTTCATATCTTTTTTTCCTATGCACCTACGATGAGTGCACGGTTTAAGCATGTATCTCACCATCTAGATACTAGAGAAACCAAAACATCTTCTAAACGGAGGGAGTATATAACATTTGTAAATGAAACTGAACTTTACAACATTCAAATATATTCATGCTTATGATATTTTCAGTCTCAAAAGGAATTCGCTGCACGTCCCTTCAACTATGTTTTTTTTAGAATCTGCTTCTACACAGTTGAATTAAAAGGCTCAATTTTCACTTGTCCCAGAGGTGTCATGTTGGACAATGGCAGGACAAAGGCAGTCAGCCCGAATCCGTTCCTTATACCTTAATGCAGTCCTGAGACAAGACATTGCATTCTTCGATACAGAGTTGACAACAGGCCAAGCAGTTTCTAGGATGTCCAGCGATACCCTTGTGATCCAGGATGCCCTTGGAGAGAAGGTATTACATGACATCTATTTCCCCATCACATATTGCAAACAAAAATGCCCAGATCTGCAAAAGCATGAGATGCAGCAGGCAATTTTATTATGTATGTTACAATTTTAGCAAAAATGGACGAAGGACATTAGTTTTTGTTGTGTTAGCTAACAGTCTATTTTCATACTCTGCAAAGTCTCACAAAAAAAAAGTCTCACCTTGTGCTACCAATGATTCATGAATAAATTAACTCATCATTTACAGGCAGGAAAGCTTGTACAACTCTCTTCTGCCTTTTTTGGTGGTTTTGTAATAGCATTCACAAGAGGCTGGCTCCTCACCCTTGTCATGCTAACATCACTACCACTAATTGCTATCGCCAGTGCAGTTTCTGCTCAGTTTCTAACAAAGGTTTCCAGCAAGAAACTGACATCCTACGGAGATGCTGGGGACTTAGTTGAACAGATCATCGGGGCTATACTGAACAGTGAGTCCAAATTATTCCAACTACTTCAAAGTATATCAGTTACTTTCCAAGAAATTAAGTTAGTAAGTTGTCTTGTTTTAATAGGTAGTTTCCTTCAACGGAGAGAACAAAGCCATTGCAATGTACAAAAAATTCATAAAGAAAGCATACAGGACTGATATTTTGGAAGGCCTTATCAATGGTTTTGGCATGGGATCTGTCTTCTGCATCTTGTTCTCTAGCTATGGCCTAGCTTTTTGGTACGGTGGAAAGCTAATTGTTGACAAAGGCTACACTGGTGGGAAAATTATCACAGTTTTGATCGCAGTGTTAACCGGCGCAACGTGAGTGTCTGAAACCCTAACATAACGAACACAAACAACTAGATCTGTACTTAATTCTTCACGCAAATTCTACTTTCATGATATCCTCAAGAATGCACACATACTGAGATACATTTCATTTAAGTCGATCATTGTATATTGTATAATAAGCCATGAACATTCCACAATTAAATTCTTGCAACAGTTCTTTAGGTAATGCAACACCCTCTGTTTCTGCAATTGCAGAGGGTCAATCTGCAGCATACAGATTGTTTGAAACAATTGAGAGGAAGCCAGTGATAGATTCAGGTGATACCAGTGGTGTGGTTTTAGAAGATATGAAGGGTGACGTTGAACTAAAAGATGTTCACTTTCGCTACCCTGCAAGACCTGATCAATTGATATTAGATGGATTGTCATTGCAAGTAGCCAGTGGGACCACAATGGCCATAGTTGGAGAGAGTGGAAGTGGCAAGTCAACTGTCATCAGCCTAGTTGAACGATTCTACGATCCACAGGCTGGTGAAGTTTTGATAGACGGCATTAATATCAAGAATCTAAGGCTTAGTTGGATAAGAGAAAAGATCGGTCTCGTCAGTCAAGAACCATTGCTCTTCATGACCTCCATTAAAGATAACATAATGTATGGTAAAGAAGACGCAACACTTGAAGAAATCAAGCGAGCAGCTGAACTTGCAAATGCAGCAAATTTCGTTGAGAAGTTACCAAATGTATGGGAAACTTTTTTATGAATATTTGCAATAATTTCTTGACACTTTAAGTTATGGTAATAGGCAGCTAACGATGTTTTCATGACATACCAGGGATATGATACATTGGTTGGGCAACGTGGTGCACAGCTTTCTGGAGGACAAAAGCAAAGAATTGCAATTGCAAGAGCCATCCTTAAAGGTCCAAAAATACTATTGCTTGATGAAGCAACAAGTGCACTGGACACGGAATCTGAGCGGATAGTTCAAGAGGCACTGAATAGGATAATGGTGGAAAGAACCACACTCGTTGTCGCTCATCGTCTGAGCACCGTAAGGAATGTTGACTGCATAACTGTTGTTCGACATGGGAAAATAGTTGAACAAGGTTTGATTCTTGTAATTACTATTTTTCCTTTCTGAACGTCTCCTTTCTCAATTTCAGATAATTCATTTGTCCCACAAACATATTATATCTTCAGGTCCTCATGATGCACTGGTGAAGGATCCTAATGGGGCTTACTCCCAGCTTATAAGGTTACAAGAGACTCGTGCCGATGGAAAGAAGAAAATAGCAGACTCTGGGGTGTCAGATTCTAGATAAAAAAGCACCAGTTTGTCACTTAGACGGTCAATCAATAAAGATTCTTTTGGTAATAGCAACAGATATTCCTTCAAGAACCCCATAGGATTGTCAGTTGAGTTGCATGAAGATCAGATCACAGGTGAACAGAAAACAGAAGAGCTCTCTGATGTTGTGGTGCTTAAGAAAGCACCAATTGGGCGTCTTTTTAAGCTTAATGTGCCAGAAGTGCCAATTCTTCTGTTAGGCTCTATAGCAGCAACAGTGCATGGAGTTATTTCCCCATTATTCAGTATATTAATGTCTGGTGTTATAAAATCGTTCTATGAACCACCAGATAAGCTCAGAAAGGATACTAGCTTTTGGGCATTGATATCTGTCGTTCTGGGAGTTGCAAGTTTGATTTCAATTCCAGCAGAATATTTTTTGTTCGCGGTTGCTGGAGGAAAGCTTATAGAGCGTATTCGTACTTTGTCATTTCAAAGCATTGTGCACCAAGAAGTTGCTTGGTTTGATAATGCCTCAAATTCCAGGTATTTTAACATTTGATTTTTATTCTTATCTTTTCTAAAGCATATATAGTCTACACCAATACTAATGTTTATCAATTGCAGTGGGGCACTTGGTACAAGGCTCTCAGTTGATGCATTAAATGTCCGGCGCTTAGCAGGAGATAACTTGGCCCTTATAGTGCAGTCTATAGCTTCATTAACAACTGGATTTGTCATAGCTTTTGCGGCAGACTGGAGGCTTGCACTGATCATCACATGTGTAATTCCTTTGGTGGGTGCACAGGGTTATGCTCAAGTGAAGTTTTTGAAGGGGTTTAATGAAGATGCTAAGGTGATGAATGACAACTGTAGAAATAATTTTCTGTTTTATCGAGTATTATATTTCCTAATGATACTTGAGTTGCCTATCATGACAATGTGATCTTATTATGCAGGAGATGTATGAAGATGCAAGTCAAGTTGCAACAGATGCTGTCAGTAGTATCAGAACTGTAGCATCTTTCTGTGCCGAGAAAAGAGTAGTCACAACATACAATGAGAAATGTGAAGCTCTTAGGAAACAGGGAATTCGAAGTGGAATTGTTGGAGGACTTGGCTATGGCTTCTCGTTCTTAATTTTGTATTTCACGTGTGGCCTTTGTTTCTATGTTGGTGCACAGTTTGTACGTCAAGGAAAAACTACATTCCCAGATGTTTTTAGGGTAAAAATTCTACTAATTTCAAGTCACCATTTGGTGCAAAAAAATATTGCTATTATCAATTATTCACACACTGATGATGTTTTCCAGGTTTTCTTTGCCTTGTTTTTGGCAGCTGCTGGGGTTTCACAGGAGAGTGCACTGGCCTCAGATGCAACCAAGGCAAGGGATTCAGCTATTTCCATTTTCAGTATTCTGGATAGGAAGTCAAAAATTGACTCAAGCAGTGACGATGGGATGACACTGGAGAATGTCACTGGCAACATCAATTTCAACAATGTCAGTTTCAAATACCCTTCACGCCCTGATGTCCAGATATTCAGTGACTTTACCTTGCAGATTTCTTCCGGAAAGGTATAGTTGAACTTGCAACCACTCATAGTCCCCTGTTCATTTCCTTGAAGTAGTATTGCCCCAAATAATTGGATGCAATCTATCTAGTTCTAGTGACGTAATATATGCAACATTCAGGTTCTTTTTTTCACACCTAACGTTACCCCAGCACTGGAACAGTTGTAATGCAATATTTTCCTTCCTTTTGCAGACAGTGGCACTTGTTGGAGAGAGTGGTAGTGGCAAGTCCACAATAATTGTTTTACTGGAGCGTTTCTATGACCCTGATTCTGGTAGAATCTCACTAGATGGCGTTGAAATTAAGAGTTTAAAAGTAAGCTGGCTAAGGGATCAAATGGGGCTAGTAGGCCAGGAGCCACTGCTTTTCAATGACACAATTCGTGCCAACATAACATATGGGAAACATGGTGATGTAACAGAGGAAGAGGTCATGGCTGTAGCCAAGGCAGCCAATGCCCATGAGTTCATATCAAGCCTGCCTGAAGGATATGACACAGTGGTAGGCGAGAAAGGAATTCAGCTGTCTGGTGGGCAGAAACAACGGGTAGCTATTGCAAGGGCCATAATCAAGGATCCTAAGATACTACTCCTTGATGAGGCAACCAGTGCCCTTGATGCTGAATCAGAGCGCATTGTTCAAGACGCATTGGACCGAGTCATGGTCAGCCGTACCACCATTGTGGTGGCACACCGCCTCTCCACGATCAAAGGGGCTGACATGATTGCTGTCCTCAAGGAAGGCAAGATTGTAGAGAAAGGAAGACATGAAGCCCTGATGCGCATCAATGGTGGAGCCTATGCTTCCCTAGTAGAGCTCCGCTCGAAATCTGAATAGAATGATGTATCTTTATATCATTTGTGCATTTCTCCAAGTACTATTTGGTCAGAATTCAATTGTTCTTAATTTTAGAAGTCGAAACTAAAATTATGTGGTAAGTGAAGGGACCATATTCAAATGCGTCACTAAGTGAATAATAAACCATATAAAAATATAAAAACAAGCCTCAACAGTATATATTCTCTATTGAACTCAAATGCAAAAGCGCATTGCTAGTGAGCAGTGGCGGATCCAGGATAAATGTCTAGGGGGGCCTCAAGTTCAAACCATGGTGAAAACATGAAGCTGTGCTTTCGATAATACGAAAGTCAGCATCTGTGCCCCTAAAGTTAAACATGGTTTTCAACTGTAGCAACAAACAGCAACATGTATATATGCAACGAACAACTATATATGACATGGTCCAAATTTCATTTTCATTCCATATTTTCAGTGGAAAAAATATAAGACACTAAAGCAATCAAGATTACTCAAATTAGTAATTAACTAGATAGAAAAAGGATGCATATATAGTGTAGACATTTTTCAAATCCAAGGAGAGGATGCAACTACTCGCTTCGCCGGAGACGCATTTCGTCGAACACATGAAAGGCAGGAACTGTGATGTCACATGCCACACTAAGGCTAGGCGCCTGGCATCACCAATCACCATAACTATTAGCAAGCGAATAGGTGATGTTCCTTGAGTAGCAGACTGGCAGCACTTTATGCTCTATTTAACCAAACCAATAATTAATGACGCGTTTGCAAAAGCATCCAAATATTTAATTATCACACACCTAGATTATAACTTGGACGGGACGGTGATGCTTGCCTGTTACTGTTAGCCTGTCCAATCCAGGCGCATCCATGCGCCTCTGCCCTCTGCTGTGCAGGCATGCCGCATGTAGCACAGCGCAGCGCCGTAGGCCGGCGACAGCTCCCTGCCTCCGACCATCCGTGCCGCACTGCCGCCGCTCGTGCGTCCGTGCCTGCTCACCCCGTTGCCCCCCGTTCAGTCGCTCAGGCGTTTGGCCGCGCCTGCCCCTTGCGCTTTGTTCGGCCATTTGGGCCTCCTCTGGGCCGTACCCCGCCAAGTGAAAGATGGGACCAGGTAATATAAGCCGTTGATTTTATTTTCGGACGGTAGAATGGGAAAGGCACGCGGCGCCGTCGCTATGGAACGGCGGCGGCTGGCCTGATCGGCTGGGGCTGGCTGGCCCTCTCACAACTCTTAGGTAAATGAACCAGCAACGGTTGTTGGTGAGGAGAGGAAAGGAAGCGAGGCGGCTCCCTGAAGCCAGCAGCCAGGTATGGCGGCCGCGCCAGCGGGCACCGGTAGGCGGTACGGCCGTCCCATCTAGGCTAGCATCGGTTGGATCGTGACTAATTAGGCTTAAAAACGGGGACCTGTAATTAGTTTTATTTTTACGAAAGGTACGCGTGGTTAAGTTCTGGAAACCTGATTTGATTTTGGTTTGCTAGCAACGACCAAAATTCGCTGACGGGTAGCTTCATTTGATCCGAACTTATTCTTTCCAATGCGTGCAAAGCTGTAGTGCATTTGGCATGTCGTCTTATGCTCAGACGCCTCGCGTGAATTTGGGGATCTGGAATAGCAGAAATGCTTCTGCTCGTCGACTAAATATTAACAGTTCAGTGATTAGGTCGATTTGTTTTCCTTTTCACCATTAATTTATTGATAATCCAGTGCACTACAGCATATGAAATACGTGATGCCAATGCTATCTTTGTATGGAGTTTAAGACTGACCTATAACAAACCAGAAGTATGAATTGATAAGTTTTACATGGATTTGTTTCCATTTCATGACTACCTACTACTGCAAATGCTCCCCTTGTAATACCAAATAATCCATCGAAGTCCCCATATCTCCTTATGCTGACTTAGAGTGCAGTTCTACCAGCGATGCATAAACTCCACCCTTGCCCACGAGGTATTCATGCTTTCCCTTCTCAGCAACTTTACCATCTTTGATGACTACAATCATATCTGCCCCTTTGATTGTGGACAGTCGGTGCGCCACAACAATGGTGGTCCTGCTGACCATCACTTGGTCTAACGCACCTTGAACAATACGCTCAGCTTCAGCATCCAGGGCACTTGTTGCCTCATCGAGTAGAAGTATTCTTGGGTCCTTCAAGATGGCCCTTGCAATAGCAACCCATTGTTTTTGCCCTCCAGAGAGCTGTGTTCCTCTCCCGCCAACAATAGTGCTATATCCCTGAGGCAAGCTAGATATGAACTCATGAACATTAGCTGCCTTGGCAGCAGCAACAATCTCGGCCTCTCTTACTTCTCCTTGTTTTCCAATATGCTATGTTGGAATGAATTGTGTCGTTGAAAAGTACAGGTTCTTGGCTGACTAACCCCATTTGGTCTCTTAACCAACTCAGCTTTAGTTTTTTAAGTTCTGTTCCATCTGGTGAGATTGTGCTAGAATCTGGGTCATAGAATCGCTCGAGCAAAGCAATTATTGTTGACTTACCACTACCACTCTCTCCAACAAGTGCAACAGTCTGCATATGATAATTGGTTTTAAATTCATTAGTACAAATCATAGAGGAAAATGTGAAAAATAGAATTAATTTCCATTCTTTTTTAGGCTCATTTTCATTGACCGGAAGTATCCAGCACTCTAGTTGTTCTTGTCCCATTGAATGACATGTACATCAATAAAATAAATTCAAAGAGTAAGAAGCAGGTATAGCGGGCAATTGAGCATTCTAAAGAGATAGAAGAGCATGGAAAAAACCCTTAATTCATAGTAAATCTTTTTTGTTACTTTCATCTCATATTGTCTGCCTTTTGTACTCCTTGTGAAATTGGAGTTTGACCTTGAAATTTTGCAGAGTGCTAAATGAATTTTGTACCACCTGTACACAACTTTTGTGAAACTTAAGGATTAAGATGAATTGAACACTCATTACCTGAGCAAAGTAGCAAACAGTTATTGTATTTGTAGCCAATATCTGATATTTTCCTATTATACATTTATACTGTTGTTGAAATTAAGCTGCTCAAGAATTGCCATGACGCTTTTGTGAACTGTGAAGTGTCTCGCATGGTCTAACTTGGTACTAACCTAGCAAGATCAACGACCCCAGTTCCCATCCCCTATTTCTTTCAATGATCAATGAATAGCTAACTACCCCCTCTAGTCAAACAACTTATGAAGTAACTATGACAAGCATCAAGCAAACAATACCTTTCTGGCTGGAATGGCCAAAGTAAAGTCGCTGAGCACTTGGACGTCTGGGCGGGATGGGTATTTGAAGCTTACATGGCTGAAATCTATGTTGCCATCAACTTTTTCTAGAATTACGCCTTCATCACTAGTCGAGTTGATTTTAGACCTCCTGTCTATAATAGCTAGTATGGAAGTTGTGGATTCCTGGGCTTTTGTTGAATCTGTTGCCATTTCACTTGTTTGAGAAATTCCAAAAGCTGTGAAAATCAAAGCAAAATAGACCTGCCAGTTACCAGATTAAGTAAGTCAGTCACTGAACAAAATGTCGTTATTTAAATGATCCCAAATGTGTATCCCTTACCCTAAAAACGTCTTTAAAAGTTGATTTTCCTTCATGTACGAACAGTGCACCAACATAGAAACAAAGAGCATATGTGAGATACATCATTAAGTTTGAGAAACTGAAACCAAGGCCTCCAACCATTCCACTTCTAATGCCCTGTTTCATTGAAGCTTGGCATTTTTGGATGTATGATGTAATTACCCTCTTCTCTGCACAGAAAGATGCTACAGTTCGAATACTACTAATTGCCTCAGTTACGACTTGACTTGCATCTTCATACATCACCTGTTCCAATTAGTTGTTAGGTGAAACTTTTGATAAGACATTAAATCTTACTTAAGTTTTGTTAACTGTAAACTTTAAAATATATCTAGAGTTATTAATATTATATGAAAAACTGTATGATGTCTAAAAAGATTGCACATATTCATCTATTTTGAAAAGTATCAGGTGTGCTTTGCTTTTTTAAACATAAAGACGATTAGGTTCACTGCAGGAAATTCAATATTTTCACCTTAGCATCTTCACTGAACCCTTTCAAGAATTTCACTTGAATATAATTTTGTGAGCCCATTACAGGAATCACACATATGACGATCAGCGTGAGTTTCCAGTCAGAAGCAAATGCTATGGAAAAACCAGCTACTAGTGTTACTATACACTGCACTAGTATGGCCAAGTTATTTCCGACGAGGCGTCGGATGTTCAAATCATCAATATAGAGTCTCACGCCAAGTGCCCCACTATAAATGAAACAGTAAAATTGATGTCCAAACAGTTGTAGAAAAATTTAAGAAATTTGGAAAAAAAAATGTTTAAGTAGCCAAACCTAGAATTTGAAGGGTCATCAAACCAAGCAACTTCTTGATGCACTATGCTCTGGAAAGACAGAGAGCGGACACGTAGTATAAGTTTCCCACCAGCGACCCCAAATAGAAAGTATTCCAGTTGGATTGAAATCAGGGCAATGACTGCGAACAGAAGGCACATCAGTGCCCAAAACCGAGAATCTTTTCGAAGTTGGTGTGGTGGATAGTAGAAACTTCTTATACCACCAGACATCATTATACTGAACGATGGGAACATAAGACCATGCACAAAGGCAGCTATAGCAGCTAATAGGAGAACTGGTGCTTCTGGCTTATTAAGTTTGAATAGTCGTCCAATTGGTGCTTTCTTAGGAGCCTTACTATCACTAGATTCCTGGTGTTCCTGTCTGTCTATAGAAACTTGTTTGTTCAATTCTTCAGACAGCCTAGTGGATTTTGTGGAGGAATGATGTCCTTTGTTCCTGGGAGAATCTCTGTCCATTGATTGTTCCAAAGATAAACTTCTACTTTTATATATTGAACCTGACACAGCAGCATTTGGAACCTCATGCCTTTCTTTAGCATGTGCCTGTTGTAACCTAATAAGCTGAGAATAAGCTCCATCAGGATCCTTAATCAGCTTGTCATGGACACCTGTATGACATGTCAATTGATTAACTGGTTCCAAAAAACTGAATTGAACTACCTCTACTTTTTCACACTGATTGATTGCTTCTAAATAAAGATTAAAAAAACCATAGTAACTGGTGTCGAAGAGTCACTTACCTCGTTCAACTACTTTCCCTTGATGAACTACTGCTATGCAGTCTGCACTCCTGATGGTGCTCAGGCGGTGGGCAACAATGAGTGTAGTTCTCCCTACCATGATCCTATTTAGTGCTTCTTGAACTACCCTTTCAGACTCTACATCTAAAGCACTTGTAGCTTCGTCCAAAAGAAGGATTTTTGGATTTTTGAGGATTGCTCTTGCGACGGCAATCCTTTGCTTTTGCCCCCCAGAAAGCTGAGAACCACGTTGACCAACCATTGTCTCGTATGCCTGTATGAGGTGGATGACAAGATATTAATTGCCAGAAACTTGAGTAAGATACATAAATAAGTAGTGTTTCTCAAAGTACATCAGGCAGCTTTTCAATGAAGGTTGCTGCATTTGCAAGCTCAGCTGCTCTCTTGATCTCTTCGATTGTAGCATCCGCTTTACCATAGGTTATGTTATCCTTGATGGAGGTCATAAAAAGCAATGGTTCTTGGCTGACAAGACTTATCTTTCCTCTTAACCATTGGAGCTGCAGACTTTTGATGTTCACTCCAGCAATGGTTTTTGAGATGTTATTGATATTGAATAGTTGCAAACACCTATTGTCAGCATTAATTTGTATTTAAACAATATTAGAATCACCCACTGTTCTTATTGCTCCAATGGTTTGCTCGACAATATTCCCTGCATCATCATATGATTCTTGCCTCTTTCGAGATATTTGAGCTCGCAATCGGGAGACTGTCGCAAAGGATAAAATGCTTGGAGGTATGCACGCGAGCACAAGAAGGGCCAGCATCCAGCCTCTAATGAATCCAATGATAAAGCCACCCATGAAAGTTGTCAAAAGCTGTATGTACTTCCCTACCTTAACATGAGAAGTCAGTTCTTTAGTGTTCTACATAAGGCCTTTTTCCTTATGTTCTAGACATAAAAGACCCTTTACTGGAATTAGACATACTTTTTGCTTCTTTTGTCAAAGCAATAATGAATTGTTACCTTCTCACAGGGGGCGTCTTGGATGAGTACAGTGTCCGCGGACATTCTTGAAGTTGCTTCTGCAGTTGTAATCTCCACGTCAAAGAATGCAATGTCTTGCCTCAGAACAGCTTCATGGTATAACGATCGCAGCCGTGTTGACTGCCTTTCTCCAGCCACCGTCCAGCATGACACCTCTGGAGCAGGTAAATGTTTCAGCCAATCGTTTGGGATTCTGCTAATCCAACTAAACAGAGTTCTCATTTTTAGCTGCTACAAAGTTCATTCTCTTCCTGGTTGAAGAAGTAAGCTGAATTAGCCACAGTTTGTTTGTTTCTGATTGTAGCAAACCCTTGCCATCTTTTCATGCTTGAAACCATCGAACTTGTAGTGTCTATGTTTTGATACTAATGTGAATAACTGAAAAATATCGGAACCTTAGCAAATACTTAAAGTTGTGACAGTGGGAATAGCCAAGCATTCCATTGGTGCCACTTGGCAGTGACCATTTTGTGCTCGTGGGATATTTGTGAATGGGCTACCATAACGAAACATGCCGTTTTCTTTGTTTGAGGTTTTACTACCATATATATGTGACTCATCAGGAACGCCAGCTATTTCAATTCCTATTCTTTAGCTATTGGACATCATTTATTCATTATAGTTATATGCACGTGTAGTCCAAGTCCAATATGTATATATTTATTTATATACTCACGGAGAAAGGAAGAAACTGCTGTTCCGATTCCCAGGTAGATGTAGTACATGATTACCTGGAGAAAAACACCTTGTTATGTATTACATTTCAAATAGTGAAGCTTCAAAAAAGGAAATTCAAATAGTGCGGGCTTGTTTGATACTTAAGGAGATGGGCACATACTGTGTAGTGTTTAGTTGCCATAATCAGTTATAACAGAGTGAGTCTGTGGAGTGTGGGACTTGCCTCAACACACACACACACAGAAGAAGAAGAAGAAGCTTTTGTGCATGTTCGGTGCAAAACAAACAAACAGAAACAAAGGAAGTTGTATTTCCATTCCAACTATATATTATTCCTAAATTTATGCAGCAGTTATATAAGTTGGATGATTTTTGTTTATGGACTTGCTAGTGCCTCGGACGTCCGGTTTGGGGCGCTAGTGTCGGACGATGCCCGCGCAGCGAGCAAGTGAGCGCCCCAGCAGCTGGCCTATGCCGCCAGACCGCGCGCGGGGACTGCTCGTGCCCTCTCCCGCTTTCTACGCACATCCCATTTGCAACACCCTAATCTAGTTTTGAAACGTTTAAATGCAACACTTATAATATACAAAAGAAGATAGATGAAACACTTGAAACATGCGTCTAATACACTAGTAAAAACACTTGAAAACCATTGCAAACATATGTAACATCTAGATAAAACACTTGCAACATATATATGAAACATATGTAACATCCAGATAAACACACTTACAACATACGTTTGAAAAACAGATGAAACATTGGGAACAGAAGTTTGCAACATACGTGTATAACCATTGCAACATATGCATCATCACGATCTACTTTTGCAACATCCGTATGAAACATATATACATCTGAAACAACTGAAGCGCTTGAAACATAGGCTTGCAACATGTCTAGAAAACGCCTAAAACAAAACATAGCGTCGCCGGCGGCCACAACCTACCTTGTTGGGAATTGCGGTCGTGCAAGCCTCCCCTTCCTGCCGACGGCGTGAGGTGGATGGGGGGCGCAGGTGCATGCCTCCCCTGCCTCCTCTTCTGTGATGGGGTAGGTGGATGGTGGCGCGGTGCTGAATGGTGGCGCAGCGCTGGCGCGTGAAGTAGCGCAGGAAGGGGCCGGGTGTGGCACCGCAGCGCTAGAGAAGGCGGCGACAGGCACCCTGCGATGGAGAAAGCGAGCGGCGCTGTTTTTTTTTTTTTTTTGAGAAGCTGTGAAACAATGTGGTGCTTGGAGCGGAGTGGGGCGAGCGGCGTCGGTTAGAATAACTCTTGGATGGCCTTGCTCAGATCCCGTTGTTTCTTCCCGTCTACATCTTTCGAATTGGGTTGTTTGAGCAGTCTGTTTGGTTCTACTTTGGAACTAAAAACGACAATTATAAATTCCAGTGAAACCCACGCCACGACCTATAGGAGATTTCTAGCCTGAAAATCGAAAGATGAATTCTTTTTGTTACTACTTCATTAGTTTTAAGTTATAAGACGGTTTTTGCTTTTCTAGATACATTGCTTGATATGTACGTAGAGATAAACATAGTATATATTATCTAGAAAAATCAAAATGCCTTATAATTTAGAATGGATGAAATATTTATTATTTGCCTGCTGCTTTCATCTTCCGAAATATGTAGCGGACATTGCTTTCATCTTCCCAAATATGTTGTGGACATTATCATAACCGGCAGACAACCATGAATACTGTCACCATAGTGGAAGGAGCACTATCGAGGATGTTCGCTCAAAGATGGTAGAGAGGCATTCCGATTTAGGGGACCCAAACGGAAACGGGCCATCAACGTAAAGCTTACTTCAGCGAAAAGCATCATTAGCATAATAGCATGTCTTGATTAATTGTATATACAATGGCTAAAGGAGGAAGAGGTAGCACTTAGTACTTGTCGAAACGTCGTCGTTGTTTATAGAGTTCAGAATATGATATCATCACCCATAGATTTATTTTTCTGGTGAGCCGACAACATCAAACCGAAACGCGTGAGCTATATATCCCACGTGGTAACCTCTTGTGTTGTACTACTAGTGTTGGACGTACGTAACTGCAGACGGTTTGATTTGATTACGTTCGACTAACTAACGTCGGATCGTTTTAATATGACCCACCAAGGAAAGGGACGATATATCAACATGTATGGTGGAAGAATAATGTGGCCCACTAATCTTTGGTTGTGAATCCAGTAGTGCTAGGTTTTGGTAACCATGTCGTTACCATGGCTTGTTTTCAAAACTCTATCTGCTTAATGAAATATGCGCTACGGCGTGTTCTCAAAAAAAAAAAAAGGACTTTCAGTTGTGCCTGCCTAATTTTCTCTGTTTTTTGTACTCGCTTGCTGTAGGTTGACATATATAAGTTTGGTTTGAAATATGGTGGAGAGATTTTTTAGAGAGAGAAGACAATAGATCTTATTGAATATATAGCACTTCTCCTATATTTTAGGCAAACACTGTTGTACAACCAACTAGTATAAGTAAATTATTACTTTTGTGATTTATTATTTGTCTTTGTATTATAATATATCAAATTTTTGTCCTTGTCTAACTATAGAAATAATTGCAAATTGTTAATTGTCTTTATGCTAGTATAGATCTAATTTTATCGAGTTTGTGGTTTTGTCTAACAGATTTTTTATTCTCGTAATTAAAAATTACAGATTATATCTCCATAAATTGCAACAAAGTAAAGCTGCAATTTTAATATAAAATATATGCCATAACCGTCGATTGGAAGAAAGCTCCTAATCTATAATACTTGGATGGCATACATGTGTAGTTTTTATCAATATATCATGCCAATTAACTAGAGAACCACCATTAAATATACGCACATGCACACATGCGCTGCATACACGGAGCGTGCATTGCTGACCCGGTGGAAGACCGTGGCGTCGTCGCCGGCGGCGCCGAAGCACTCGATGACGGCGGCGAAGACGACGGTCATGAGCGGCTCCGTCATGCCGTTGGCCACCGCCGACACCGTGCCGACCGCCGTAAGTGCGGCGTCGGTGCGGTCGGCGTACCGGAATATGCCAAGGAACGGCACCAGGTACCGCCGCGTCCCTCGTTCGTCGTGGTCGTCTCGGCATCATCCTCGCCGCCACCGTCTCTCGCTCCCCCAGCCATGAACGAACCTTAGTAGCCCCCCGGCGGCCCGGCCCTCAGGCGCTCTCTCGATCTCTTTCTGGCTGAAGAATAGCTCTCTTTTGTTGGCACTACTGGTGCCTGCTTGCTGGGCTGTGGCAGCTCTTTGTACCTATATATATGGTGCGCCACTCGCCGTCCTGTTTCACTCTCGTTCACTCGTTTGGCCGTCGCGATGGATGTGGCGGCTGGCAAGTACTGTACGGTGGTCATGGCGAGTCCTACTCTGATGACTCCGATGTTTACCCATCATGGTAACACCAACACGCGCGATTGGTGGTTGGCCTGGTAGGCCAGGGCTCGGAGACTCGGAGTGGGTGCTCGATCATAACGATTCATGTGAATCACAAGCGGCCACAAGGACACACGAGACCCGAGTAAAAGATCGAGTTGCTAGGAAGCTGAGGTAGGTAGTAGGTAATGTAATGTAACACGCATGCGTCATCGATCAATCTCCTCCGTGGATCCGGCGGTTGTTGGTAACATGGATATGCATGCATCTGTGGTCGGCGAGGAAGAGGATCCGGCGGAGAGGACGTAGGTTGAATTCTGCCGTCCGCCGGTCGGTTTCTCCTCAACCATTATTTCACTTGTAGCGTGATATGCTTATAATATATACACACACCAATCTTCATCATCATTTGTGAAAGACGATAGTAATTGCCGTTGTTAGCCTCCATAATTTGGTGCTACTATACAGGCAGGGTGGTAGTGCTTGATGTATCTACAGTAGTGCTAGTACATTGCTGACAATAATATGGCAACGTCGGAGATTAGTGATTCGGATCCTGATGAAACTGAAAAAGACGGGAGGGAGGGCAACAAAATAAAGGCGCCCGATCGAGCGAAAACTACGCCGGCCAGCGATTTGGCATCAAAGAATTTGTCTTGCCGGCGAAATGACAGAGCATCAATTGCTTTTCAGGTGGCTGCGGCTGCGGCGGCTGCTAATCGAATCCTACGATCGCTACTGGAAACCGGACCAACGACGCCACAGCTACCTGGTAGCTGTTGATCCACCACACCAGCAACTTTGCGATCGATTGCACGCCGTTGGTCTACATCATATCTATCTTCGGGCCCGTTCGTTTCGCTGAAATTGACTTAAAAACACTGTTCTGACTGAATTATTATGAAAGAAAAATACTGTATCAACTGAAAAAAATAGGCTGAATAGTACCGCTTTTAAGGTAAGCCAGAGCCTAGTCTCTTCTCGTCTGGCTTGCTGTCGATGTATCAGAGCTTCTACTAGCTTTTCTTCCGACCTACTACAGGAGTAGGAGTAAAGCTTACCCCAGGCCCCCAGCGAAAACCATAATCGATTGGCACATCTGAGAGTGTGTGAAAGGCCAAAGGCCAATGAAGAAAAGGTTTCACCACAGGAGTCCACGCATGTCCTGAAGACCTGACCCCAACCCAAGACCAAACATCTTCTGCAGCGGAAACGTGACATCAATCACAACAGTACACACTACCGGAAACAGTAGCTTTGTCAAAAAAAACACTCGACAAAGGATTTGGCGAGTGTAACATCTCCTCAAAGGATCCGGCGAGTGTTGGTAACATGGACATATGCATGCAAATCTCTTTGTGTGTTTTTTATCGGCGACAAATACTTTGTCGAGAGATCCGACGCTTCGGCAAAAAAAAGAACGTGGTTGAATTCTGCCGTCCGCCGGTCGGATTTGACCTCAGCAGTCATTATTTGAATCACTTGTAGTTCAAAATTGACTTATACCAAAAAATTCCTTGAAATATAATAAATTAATTAAATATAGCGAACATGTCCAAAAAAATATCAAATCTTAACATGGAGTGCCATATGTTGTATGTGGAGAGCAGAAAAAGTTTCAAGGTCAGAAGAGAAAAAAAACTTGTTTATTTGCCGAGTGCCGAAGAAACCCTCGACAAACATATTTCTTTGCCGAGTGCCAAATATTTACACTCGATAAACGTATTTCTTTGCCGAGTGTATTTGTTTGCCAAGTGTTTCCACAAACGGACACTTGGCAAACATACTGACGGACGGCACACGGACTAACGGTTGTCCACGTGACGGTTCTTTGTCGATTGCCTAGCTTTTGCCGAGTGTTTTTTTTTTAGTTTGTCGAGTGCCAAACTTTGCCAAGTATTTTTCAATTATTTTGTCTAGTGTTTTTTTTAAAGCACTCGGCAAATAAGTGTCCAATATAATACACTCGATGAACATTCTTGCACTCACCAACACCCAATTTCCGGCAGTGACATGTACTGTACTCCCTCCGGTTCTCTAAAGCAAATCGTTTTGAGGTTGTCTTAAGTCAAATATTTTAAATTTTGACTACAAATAACTTCTTTTGGGTTGAGTTTAAAAATATAAAAGTGATGTAAATAGATTCATCTCGAAATGTAGTTTCATAAAAGTATATATTTACTATATTTTATAAATATTTTATAGTAAAAAGTTATAGTGAAAGTTATTTCTTAAAGACCATATTAATATCAAAACAACTTGCTTTACAGAACCGGAGAGAGTACTGGTACTCGATGACTTTCTGTCTGGTGAGCTGCGGCATCAACCGTTCCAATCAAGTACTAGGAGTAGGAGTAGTACTGGTCGATACTCCTTCCTACGTACCTAGAGTACCATGCTCCTGTACGTCAGGCCAAACCTCGATCGGGATTCTCGGGACCTGTCGAGGTTATAGAATTGTCGCGGCTTGCCACTGAAGACACTCGATGACGTCCGTTCAACGTGACTGCGCGGTGGTATTACATCCAAGGGAGATATTTAGCACTTGTTAGTTCGCGAAATTTGGATTTTGGGGCCACTATAGCTTCTTCGTTTTTATTTAGTAAATAGTGTTCAAATATAGAATAATTAGGTTTAAAACGTTCGTCTCGCAATTTCCTACCAAACTGTATAATTAGTTTTTCTTTTCGTCTACATTTAATGCTCCATGCATGGGCCGCAAACATTCGATGTGACAGGTACTATAGCAACTTTTTAAAAATTGGGGTGGAACTAAACAAGAGCTTATGATGAAGCTCAACAGTCTTCTACTACTGATCTTTCATATATATAATAAAGCGGTTCAACAGATAGGCCAGGGTAATTACGAATGTCGTCTCCACAAGCATCTTCATCTTTCATCTCTCCACAAGCATCTTATATATATATATATATATATATATATATATATATATATATATATATATATATATATATATATATATATATATATATATATATATAACTTTTCTCTACGTCTCGAAAAAAAACTTTTAAGTTGGGTAATACGCAGAGAGAATAATTAGGGTGGCCGCACGTGTTGCCATGCCTAAGACAAAAACAAGGTGTGAGAACCCGTCCAAATTAATTAGCCTATGCTAAGAGTCGGTTTGATACAAAAGCTAATTGTTATTAGTTAGCTAAAACTAGTCCTAGCTTATGTTAATAGGTGGACTAATTTTTTAACCAAGTATTAAACTAGTTGTTATTATCTAACTCTAGCTAAATCGAGCTAATTTTTAGTCCTAACTAGTAATTAGCCCTAGTCATCCAAATAGACCTTAAGGGCATGTTCGCTTGTCTGGATTCTGGAGGAATCTGGATGGTTTTGAAGGAATGTTGAAGGAATTTGTGAGAGAAAAACACTGCTCCGGATGAAAAAATAAGCGGATCAACCAACCACCTTAAGCTAATTAACTCTGCAATATGTAGAGATACAATCTCTGCATTCCACTAGAATGATTAAGAGGAATGAATGATTAAGAGGAGTGAAGGTTGCACTATATACACAAGTGATCACCATAGCTCCAGATATGGGACCGAAGGTTGCCGTAAATACACGAGATGAGATAGATACGAATAAGTTTCATTTCACGAGTAGATAAATAAAATTCAGGTAAGATAAAATAGAGTGAACTAGTCTTTCTTTTCTAAGCATCCCATAGGTTCCTAAAAAATCACTCCCTCTCATCTTTTTTAGGCCCAATTACAGACGCCGACGCTCACATACACGAGCGCACACTCATCTCTATGAATGTAGGCACGCACACCTTACCTCTATACGCCTTTGAAGAACTAGGTTGGATCGATAAATTTCGAGATTGATGAAGTCACCACATGTGCCACGATGTCGACGGTCACGTCGCTTACCACTGAAAAGAATAGCGTCGTTTCTTGGAATAAATTCAGAAAAATACGAGTACTCGTGTCAAGTCGGGAACTTAAATCCGGGTGGACAAGTTCCATCACAAGGAACCCAACCAACTAAGCTACGCTCAGTTAACATACATGGTTTGATAATCGTGCCCCTAGCCTATCCGCTCTATATGCCTCCAACCACACCATAGCATATACTCAAGTGGCCGCAGTCCAGCAACCTGCACACAATAACTTATTAGCAGCATTGTGAGTATGGGAGTACTCGAGAGGCTTAAACCTATTACTCGCATGAGTATGTATGAGTATGTATGGGAGTACTCGCATGGGTTATCCGCACCTATAATATATGATGGATTCAGAGGGGCCGGAAATTAGGTAAACAGGGTTATCCGCACCTATAATATATGATGGATTCAAAGGGGCCGGAAATTAGGTAAACATGCTTTTTAAATCTTGATATCATCCTTAAAGGTATTGAATAACAAATGACAATATGGCATATCAACCTTCATGGAGAGACGCCGTAGTCCAAATGGCGTCTAGGTGTGCGGTACAGTGATTAGATTAAGTGATTCCCGACACTTGCCTCTGTTGGTAGTGTTAGTGTGACGTGCCCAATGCCATGACTGGAAGAGACTTGGTGACTTAGAGCATACCTCAGTGGAGATATAACATGGACTAGGAGTAACATTTTTGGAAAAACCACTATTTGGATGAAAAACAAAGATCCGATTGTTTCGGGACCATAAAAAAAAAACACTAAAAAACAATTGTTTTAAACCTCTCTTTTATTCTTGCACTACTTTCTAGTCATATAAGCTTAGTGTTGTCCTCTTGTCTGCTTGAAAGAAACTTGCGTGACAATTAGGATTTCTTTTATGCTAGAGCGTGCTTAGCTATAAAGTTTAATTTCACCACTATGGACCTTATTTAGCGTGCTCTTTTGCTAAGGACCATCCTCACATAAACCAAAAAGGATATTTTCTCGTTATTGTTTCAGGCCTGCCTCGAGCGTATTTGGACAATGATTATGTGAGAGCTAACCTTCTTGAGGCGTAGGTGTGTACGATTGTACTTCCTCCTTCGTCTGAATAAATTAATTTTTAAAACTATTAAGTTATTTTTTAAATTTAACCAAGTTTATAGAAAAATATAACAATATTCACGACACCAAATAAACAAATTATAATATATTTCATAGTGTATTTAATGATATTAATTTGGTGCCATAAATCTTAGTGCTATTTTCTATAAATTTGATCAAACTTAAAAATATTTGACTTACAATTTTAGGAATTGATTTATTGAACCAAGAGGATAGATGGTATATATAGCATACCTCCTACATCCTAAATAAATACATCTTACATTTTCAGGACTCAACTAATATCAAATTTGATACTTACGTTTAGAGTAATGAATTTAGTACGGTAAATCTAGCCTACTCTCTGTCCCAAAATAAATCTATATTTTACATTCTCAGAAGAAAACTAATATCAAATTTGATAATTTAATTAAATTTAAATTAGTTACTTTTTAAAATACGAAATGTGCAATTATTTTGGAAGGAATGGAGGAAGTACTATGGCTGTGTCAGGTGTGTGGTCTGTCGTGTTGTGTTGTTGTACCTTCAGATACTACTACGCTCCTGACGCCGCTGCCTCCCTCGACCCTATGCGGCCGACGCCGGCGCTCGCCGCCGGCCGACGCACGGTCGCAAGCTTCCTATCCTCCACGGAATGGATGCTTCCGTCTCCGGCCACCCGAGTCCACACCATCTCCGTCCTTCCCTCTCGTCCCGAGTTCACCTTCTCCAACCTCACGCCGCCGCTCAGGAATGGCGGCGGCAACGGGGGAGAGACTGGCAATCCTAGGTTCCAGATAGTACGGGACGACCTCCTCCACCCGCTCGCCAACGGCAACAAGGCGCGCAAGTTCGACGCCCTCCTGCCCGTCCTCCGCCACTGCGGCGCTACTGACATCGTCCGTCCATCTCGTCAGCCCTTTTCCTCATTATGCATCTAGTTTTGTGATACGTTGGTAATTCTCAGTGTCCCAAACTCCCAATTGCAGGTTACATGTGGGGGTTGCCAGAGCGCCCATGCCGCAGCCGTCGGTGAGTCCCATGCTTCTGTAAATTTACTCGTTGAATTCCAGTGTATCCCTGCAAATTTGTTTGCTTGAATCGCTCCTACCATTTAATATAGATTAGGTGATCTCCCCGCGCGCATTGCTGTGGGAATTAAAAAGCAGTTCAAATGATTTCTCTATGAAAGAAGAGGCTAAAACCAAGCTAATCTGTGTGGTGTATGAATGAATAAAAAGTGTATATGCCTGCACGGTGGCTGTAAGAGATGATGTTGCTTCATGAGGATTGAGCTTTAGTTAATGATTGCTACTGGACATGGTTAAATGAGGTGGAATATAAAGAAATATATGAGACGAATGGTGGCTAATTTGGGTGATGTGGCTTCATGAGGATTGAGCTTTATAGCAATTAATGATTGCTAGTGGCCTCCATCTAAAAAAAGGGGGCGTACCCAGTGCAGAGAACTATTGCTCTGTGCGGGGTCTAGGGAAGGGTGTCAGTGGCAAGCCTTACCCTCGCCTGTGCAATGTGAGGAGACCGCGACTCGAATCCGGGACCTTCCGGTCACAGGCGGTAAGACTCTACCGCTTGCACCAGGCCCGCCTTTCGCTAGTGGCCTCTATCAGTTATAGATATAGATATAGATATAGATATAGATTTGTGTAATGTACACGTGTTTAAATCCAAATTTTGTTTCCGGGTGAGCTTTTTCATGTAAATGGCACTCCATGTTTTTTAGTTTTTCCTAACAATCTATTTTCTCTCTATGTATCAGCGGTTCATTGTGCCGAATGGGGAATCAGGCCACATATACTGCTGAGAGGCGAGCAACTGGATGTTCCCACAGGGTATAATCTGATCTCATTGATGTTTGGCAATGTGACATATGCCTCTCGGTCTTTGTATGCCCAAAGAGATGAGATGCTTTATGAGCATGCCATAAAGGTTGCAGGATCTAGTGGCACAGTGATGTGGGCAGATGAAGTTATAGGAAAGGATTTGGGTGTAGACACCATTGATGGAAATGGTTCAAGAAGAGTAATGATTGTTAAGGAAGGGGCAGGTAGTGTTCAAGCACTGCTTGGTAAGAAGGGATTCTTTTTGGCTAGTTTCCATTTTTCATTCATGATTACACATGATGTTTCTACTGCCAATAAAATAAAATAAATTGATAGGCTCATATTCTAGTCCATACATCTTTGACTGGTTTCACTTCATATTCAAGCTGTGTTTTCATCAGGACTGAAAATTAAATTCCGAGCATTAAGATCAGTATCATCAAGTACTTTGCACCAGAAAATATGTTGATTTCTTATGTCTGTTCTGAGATTTGTGAAAGGAAAACTTTTACTGAAGCTCGATAGAGAAAGTGATCGTGCTACTTTTCACATGATTTATTCTCTCTTCAGGTGTCATGCGGCTACTGGAGTATCTTTCTGGTTTGACATTGTTTGGAAAGGATGAGAAAGTTCATATGGTTGTAGATTCTGGAACAGGCACAACAGCTGTGGGGTTAGCTCTTGGAGCGGTATGTCTAGGGTGCGTTTGATACAAATATCTGCACATGCTGAATAAAAATAATTGTGGAAAACAAACAATCAATCGTAAATTTGAAAATACCCCATTGTGTTGCGTTGGGAATTTGAAACTGTCAGGTCTTATTTTCATCACCAAATCACCTAATGTTGTTAGTGCTATTCTCTCCATGCATCTTTGCTACCTATCACATATCATCTAATTCTCCTACATGCAGACTCCCGTGGAGGGTTACCGGTGTTATGCTTGCTGACACACTTGAAAGATATAAACAACGAGAGAGATCTCTTGTATCTGATTTTGAGAAGGTTTTCCCAGAAATCTACCATGGAATGGTGGAAGATGCTACTCATGACAATCTAGTTCAATGGGTGGAGCGCTTTTCACCTAGAAGGTATGTTTTAGTAAAGTGCATATACTGCATTTTATTACTTGGTACCCATTTTGTTCAATATGCAAAGTCACTGAAACTTCTCAGAAAACTGATAAAGAATATTTTTCGCTGCAATAAAGTTTCCCGAAGCTCCAAACTTGTATGCTTTACAGTATAAAGGTTGCTTGCTATGGCATGCTTGGTAGTTCTGTAATTTGTGAATAACATTCAGGATTCAGCATATTCAGAACCAAACTCTAATGTCAGAGGATAACATTCAGGATTCAACATATTCAGAACCTTGTAATTTGTGGGTATCCATCTACTAAATTGTTTCAGTGGTATCCCGATTGTGATCAAGGATATCCATCCACCTTTTCTCTAGAGGAATCAACATACAATGTAACGTATTTCAGTGACAGTATTTTTGATACTGAGACACTGGTACTAATAACTTGGACTTACTCTTGCACTGAACTATCAATACCTTTCACCTTTTCCTTCAGATTTGGCAAGGTGCTGGATGGTGAAATCGCAATGTGCCGCCAGGTAGCTCAACAGACAGGTATCCTGCTGGATCCGATGTACACCTTGGCTTCCTGGGAGCAAGCTGTTGATCTTTGCTGTGGAGACAGTGAAGACAAGGTCTTGATGATCCATACGGGTGGCACCCTTGGCCTTTTTGGATTGGCACAAAGGTATTCACCACAGTTCACCACAGGCGAACAATCTTAAGTAGGCCAACGTTGATGTGCAAATGTTACGGTTTGTGGGTATGGAATGTGATCTTTGACTTTGAATAATCAAAAGTAGAAAGAGCCGTTTTTCCCTTGCGCGGTGCGCTCCCTTTGTAAAAGGGATTGGTCTTGATATTGATTTGCGTTGAAAATGGCCTTGTGCTGTGGACCGTTGCGACTACATTTATGCTGATGACCCATAGCGATCGTTCTACATTGGCTCACTAGTTTGGTTCTGAACCTGGTAAGGTTGCCTGGGCCAGGCAGCTCCAGGCCACGCCGCGAACCAAACACGCTGGCACGTCGGCTTCGAGCAGTGACGCGCCCACCCTCGGTCGGCCAGTGTTTGCGTCCCTTTGCCGCTCGGCGCCCGATGTGTTAAGAAAAGAAGCATCTGGCTAGGACTTAGGGCGACAAGGCTCATCGCTTGGGAGACAAGTTGGCTAGTTATTTTGTTTTTAGCTGTGAAAAGGCCGTTTATACATGTGGATTCAAAATGAAAAAAGTCTAACCCCTGACCTTTGCTGATCTGTTATGTCTACTTCACCCCTGAAGTATGAAATCATGTATCGAGCACCCTAAACTTCGCCAAACCAGATATTTAACCCCTTTTAAGGCTTGTTTGGATGCATGTGTATGCAACTCAATCCATATGTGTTGGAGTGGAATAGAATATGTCGGTACAGAAAGTGACCAACTATTGAATATTTATAGTTTTGCTGTACGTTGTGATCGGAGGTGACCTAGCACTCAATGACACAGGATTTATACTGGTTCAGACAACGTGCCTACGTCCAGTTTGGGTCGGTCGGTGACTTTATTCCTGAACCCAGGTGCTCGAAGTCTGTAGTGGGGTTACAAACGAGAAGGAGAAATGTGGGGTGTACGAGAGGCCCGGTCGGGTCCGACCGGAAGGGCCGAGGACGACCGGAACTCCGCTACGAACTAAGTGTTCAAGCGTGTGCCAGCGCCATACGGATCCCCCGAGCTTAGGCATCCGCGGAGGATGCGAGGCCGTAGGGGAACCGACCGTACGGTGTTTGTGGTGTGGCTGGTGCAGTCCCTCCGAGTGATCGGTGGGAGATAGTAAACAAAGGGCGAATAAAAGTACGCGTATTACTTACAGTGGGGTTTGAGCAGAGAGTTTGCTCGGAATGAAGCGCAGATGCCGCGTCGTTGAGGTTGCGCGTCCCGGAGTTGACGGAGAACGTCTCTCCCACGGGTGCCGGGTTGCGAGTCTCCTCGTAGAGGTGGAGTACGCCGAGTCGGTCGGCGATGAAGTCTAGGCTTCCGAATAGGAAGGCCTGGGACGGCTCGAGGACGGGTGGAACCCACATCCTGGCGGGCGAGAGTGCGGGAAAGTCCAACGAGCCGAAGCGAATCGTATCGTCCGAGCCCGCCACGGTGGGGGTGGCGGAAAAATGGGTCATCCGATGACCAAAAAGTGTTGAACGTACATCGTCTGCCCCACGGACGGCGCCAACTGTCGGTACAGAAAGTGACCAACTAGTGAATATTTGTAGTTTTGCTGTACGTTGTGATCGGAGGTGGCCTAGCACTCAATGACACAGGATTTATACTGGTTCAGGCAACGTGCCCTACGTCCAGTTTGGGTCGGTCGGTGACTTTATTCCTGAGCCCAGGTGTTCGAAGTCTGTAGTGGGGTTACAAACAAGAAGAAGAAAGGTGGGGTGTACGAGAGGCCCGGTCGGGTCCGACCGGAAGGGCCGAGGGCGACCGGAACTCCACTACGAACTAAGTGTTCAAGCGTGTGCTTGAGGGGTTGCGAACTATCGATCTAGTGAGTCTTAACTTGGAGAAGTCGACCTCCTCTGTTGGAGGGAGCGCATCCCCTTTTTATAGATAAAGGGGATGGCTTTATAGGTGAGAAGGATTGAGTACGGATGTTTCTAAGCCTTGTTGCCCACGCTGACAAGGGTAGCGATGATGGTAGGCGCCCACAATATTGTTGATGTCACTGTAGAATGTTAGGTGCACATGGGAGGTTTGTGTTGGCTTCTTTAGGAAGGGTGGATGTTGGTACCTGCAAAAAATACTGTTGGTATGTGAGGAGCCCTACCACGGGTACCAGGTATGGTGAACCCCGGCGCCCACAGCGCTATTGATGCCTAGAGGCATGTGGGGGGGCTTTCTGCCGTACGGGAGTCCAACGGCACCTACAATACTGTAGACACAAATGTCGACGCCTACAATACTATTTGTGTCAGGGCGGTTGTGGAACACTGTTCCTGCAGGTGTACAGGGTATGGTCTCTGGTATCAGTGGTTTGACTTGTGCGCTGCCTTCTCCGATCGCCCCTGGTCCCTTTCGAGCGGGCGTCCCCGGTCGGATGGCCCCAGTCGGCCCTGGTCGTGTGAAAGCTCTAGTTTGGTTTTGGTGAATTGATGAAACCCTAAGTGCTAACCTAGTTTATCAAGTGATCATGAGATAGGTAGCACACTCCAAGTGGTGAAGCAAATGAAGATCATAGCATGATAAAGATGATGGCATGGTGATGATCAAGTGCTTCGACTTGGAAAGAAGAAAGAGAAAAACAAAAAGCTCAAGGCAAAGGTATAATTTGGAAGAGCTATTTTGTTTTGGTGATCAAGACACTTAGAGAGAGTGATCACATTTAGGATTGATAGTCGTACTATTAAGAGGGGTGAAACTCGTATCGGAATGCGGTTATCAAAGTGCCACTAGATGCTCTAACTCATTGCATATGCATTTAGGATCTAGTGGAGTGCTAACACCCTTGAAAATGTTTGTGAAAATATGCTAACACATGTGCACAAGGTGATACACTTGGTGGTTGGCACATTTGAGCAAGGGCGAAGAAGTTAGAAGTGAAATGGAGTTGGTCGAAGTAATGCTGGCGTCGGTCAACTGACCGGACGCTGGGTTGCTCTGCGACCGAACGCTGAAAGGCTGCGTCCGGTCGGCAAAAACTGGTCTTAGACCCTTACTGTAAACGACCGGACGCTGAGGGTTCAGCGTCCGGTCAGTTCTGTTGGAGCGTCCGGTCAGCTTGTCGACCGTTGAGATCAAACGTTCACTGTTGAACGCAGGAGACACGTGGCCGCCATCGGGCGACCGGACGCTAAGGAGCAACGTCCGGTCAGTAGGACCGGAGCGTCCGGTCACCCCGATCAGTGCCCAGTGAAGGGGTACAACGGCTCTATTTCGTGGGGGCTTCTATTTAAGCCCCATGGGCGGCTCAAGCTCACACTCTTAGCCATTTGCATTGACATAGCAACCTTGAGAGCTTAGCCAAAGCCCTCCCACTCATTTCCATCATAGATTAAACATCTTTGTGAGATTGTGAGAGAATCTAAGTGCATTGCTTGAGTGTTTACATCTAGAGGCACTTGGTGTTCGTGTTTCGCTGCGGGATTCGCTTGTTACTCTTGGTGGTTGCCGCCACCTAGACGGCTTGGAGCAGCGAGGATCGTCGAGCGGAGGGTGGTGATTGTCTCCGGCTTCGATCGTGGTGATTGTGAGGGGTTCTTGACCTTTCCCCGGCGGAGAGCCAAAAGGTACTCTAGTGGATTGCTCGTGGCTTGTGTGATCCTCATCTTGTGTTGGTTGTGCGGCACCCTATTGAGGGTTTGGCGTGCGAGGCCAATTAGCGCGTAAACCTCCAAGTGAGTGAATCGCCACAACGAGGACTAGCTTGCCGGCAAGCAAGTGAACCTCGGTAAAAATCATTGTGTTCATCACATTGATTTCGAGGTGATTGGTCTTCATTGTTATCCTCACTTGTGATTGATTGGTTCATACATCTACACGGCGGTATAACCTTCTTGCCTACTCTCTTTACTTTACCGCAAACTAGTTGTCAAGCTCTTTAGTGTAGCTAGTTTTGAGAGCTTGCTTGCTTGGTTGGTGTGGCTCTTTAGCTAGCCTTTGAGAGCACACTAACATAGAGTAGTGTCATAGCTATTGTGTGAATAGATTCTACCTAAACTAGAATTGTGGTAGGTGACTTGTAATTTTAAGTAGGCTAGCGTAACACTTGCTTCGCCTCATAATTGTCTAACCATTTTGATTAAGTGTTATTGTAGAAATTTTATTAGGCTATTCACCCTCCCTCTAGCCATTAGGACATTTCATCGTGCCAGTCGGAGAAGAGCGGTAAGCAGACTTCCTACGGGGTCCCCGGTCGGAGACGCGGGGGCGGAGTAGGAAGCAGCGTTTTGGGCCAGGCCTTCCGATCGGAGAGACCGCCCGGAGGCGGCTGGTGCCCGAGGCGAGCGCTCCGATCGGAGAGGTGGGCCGAAGAAGTTGACGAGCGGGCGTTCGTTCTTTCGGGCAGACCTTCCGGTCGGCGACCGGACTGTCCTTCCGGCCCGTCATATTTTTAGACTTTTGGGCCGGCCCATGAACTACATGCTGTTCTCCTGGGTCGAACCCGGGCGTCGAAGCCGGTCCCCGAGGGACCCCGGGTTTATGAACCCGACAGAATGAAATTTAGTTTAATTCCACTTTAATCCACTTCAACACATGTAGATTGAGACGAATACATGCACATTCAAATAAGGCCTTAGTGGGTTTGGCTATTGGTTTTGCTGGCGTGGCGGTTCAAACTGGTTCACATTAACCTGTTGCGCTTAGGCCCACATGTCATGCCCAACGGACCGACTAGAATAGAGGCTCCATCATGCCACGTAGGAATAGATCTGACTTGGAGGTAAGAGAAGGAAAAATAGTAGTTTGACGTGCAGAGATATTCATAGCCTCAAGAGAGAGCAAAAGAGAAAAGATAAAAATATGTTGCATGCTTACTTTTTCTTTACCTACCCATGTGGTTTGCATTGTAGCATTGCTACCTCATTAGTACTTGTTTGAAAGTTCATGTATTCATCTCAATCCATGCGTTGAGGTGGGTTGGTGTGAAATTTAAATTAAATTCCACACCTACTCACCCCAACACACGCTTGATTGAGATAGATATATGGACATTCAAACAAGGCTTTAGTGTTTTGGGAATACATGTCATCTTCACTCTCCTGAGGTCATTACTACTGTATGCTTGCGATGGACATGGCCTAATAGCGAAAAAACAACAGCCAAAGATCAAAAGACAGGAAACCAGATTTTGAGTCAGAAGCCTAAAAGATGCACCTCAAATAAATCAAATAACAGGCCCTTAGCCTCTAGGTGAAGTGATGAAGCGTGAAGTTGATGCTGGTAGCAACAGTTCTTTTCTTCTTCTTCTTTTCTTTTGACCAACCTACGGCAAGCAATCGCCGGGTTAATATCCGTAGAATGTGTTTACGTGCATGTTTTAGCCAATATTCAATCTGTCTGTTCCTTTTCTTGTACTTTACTCTGGAGCGGTTATTCACTAGCAGCAAAATTCTTTTAAACTGTTACAAGGTCGCATGCGCACTGCTACTATCCGGTCAGAGTTTGGACGATTATGCTCAAGTGAAGCAAATTTTAGTTGAAATGGGTGTTTTAAATTCAGGTTTAGTCATCTTAGCAGTACAGTTGATCTTTTTAGACTTGAACAGCCTTTTTTTTGCTGGGTACCCTTTCACATTAAATGTTAGTAGTTACATTTTCCTTTCAGGATGATTATCTAGACTGCTTTGGCGATCCGGATGTCATCGGCAGGGTAAGTTACTACACTTCACTATGATACCAATACCACCACAGTGCTCTGTGTTTCATTTCCTAAGCATATCATGGCAGATTGGATCTGACATTGAAGACTTCAAGCACTTCAGCGTGCTGATGAGAAGCAAAAGGACTTCTTATTCGTAACTCGTAAGGCCCATTGGCTACGTCTTCTTTATATAATCAGAACACACTACCTTAATATTTGCGTGCCATTCACAGGAAAATTACGGGAAATCAGATCCTGCTTGTGTAGCAGAAGTGAAGGCTCTGTACAAAGAATTGGGTCTTCAGGTTGCTTCGATCTCTTTTTCACCTTTGGATTTTATCTTAGCAAAAACGTTTAGCAACTTTTTCCCTTTGCGTATAGAATAGCATGCTAGTATTTCTGTACTCAGCGTTTTATATACTACCGACCATGACATCTTATCACTTCACAGAGGGCTTTCGCTAAGTATGAAAGGGAGAGTTACGAAAAGTTGACTTCAGACATTGACAGCCTGTTCGCTTGCTCGTAAACGATCGTAAATTTTCAGCCGGAAACAGTGTTTTTCTCTCACACCAAACCAGCCAGCAGTAAATAATCCACGATACGATACGGCCTCCCGAACAGGCTGTGAAGCACTACCCAGTGAAACGGTACAGGCGGTGTTGAAGTCCTTTCTACACAAGATCTACAAGAGGAAGTAATATAACTCTAATACATTCCCTCAGCATGTGAAGCAGCAGGGCAGAATCATTTGGGTTCTTGCTGTGTTTGGTGAACCTTAGGTCTTGTATACAAGCGAGTACATGCTTAGAGGAACGACGTTTGTTGAAAAATAATAGTACGTTCCCGAGGGGATAAACGGAAAAAGAAAAACACAGGAGTTTTCGTTGGTCTATAGATTTGCAATAATTTCAAATCATCGGCCAATGTTCTAAACAGTAGGTCAGATGGACACATGTATCTCCTCTTGCATATTTTCCTATTCACTATGTCTAAAACCTGTATGCAGTAACAAAACTATCTATTCTTTAATCATACAAGGGGAAGAATATGTATAAGAAAAATTAAGCTATTGTTATAACTTTCTTGTTCTGTTAGGGTAAGGGTCGCGAGTACTCTGTCCTTCACTACATCTATAAATCGCATACTGATGGAGCTGACAAACTTCAAAACCGATGCTCTGTAGTCTGTACATCAACCCTCTTTAAGTCCTCTTAACTGTCTAAGCGCAGTCTGGTTACTGTCAATACTCTGATACTCCATGTCTCTGTAGCTACTGCTGCAAATGATACAGCTCCCATTGAGGCTGGTACTAATTGTGAACAGTATCTGACCCATCAAAACGGTGAGTGAGGACTTGTGTATACAATTTTGTTAAAAGTTAATCATCAACTGAGCAGATTTCGGTGTGCCAATGGCTCCTTGTTCCAAAAGATGCATGGCCGCACTATAGGAGAACTTCCTGGCAAATAAAAAACATGGAACCGAGGTACCATTGCATTGGCACCACTCTGTCCTCTGCTCCATTTGATAGTTGACATGATCAATTCTCTACAAAAATATTCATAACAAATTATGAGTGGTGTGGTGGTAACTGAGCAATAACAATATATATGTTTGTCCTACAGAACACTATGTTTATCTAAGAAAGTGGGCTGTCATAAAAGTAAACCGAACAATAATAGAATGCACATTGCCATCAGGTATCGACGATCAAACCTATTCTCAACACATAGGTTTGAGGTAACTAATTCTACCATGCAAACACAAATTCTGATCAGAGTAGGAGTAACAGATATACAGAAGAAAATCAAGAGCCTACCTTGATAGCATTGATATGCTCAGGGCTAGATGTATCATACTCAAATTTCATAGGATGCCAAGTCATTTTGTCTTTCGGATTTGATGATTGGTTCCATGAGGTATAGGTCAAAGTTCTTCTCTCCAGTTCATCTTCAAGACCTTTGATCTAGAATATATTAAAATAATGTGCCACCATTATGAATCTGTGTGATAATTATGACAGTTCCAACTTTGAGATCTATAGAAGTAACAACAAAGCTTACAGAAAATAATGTCTGCACATAATGTTCATCTGGAATACAATCATGCTCCTGTTGAGCTACTCCTTTCTGAAAAGTTAAACATGACATAATGTGTCAGGCACATAATTAAATGAACAAGAAACCTTATGTGCTTTGAGCAACAGCTATGAACAAGAAACTCTATGTGCTCCTTTCTTTTTGCAATCATATGTGTAAGTATGACAAGTGACAACTAGATCTACATCATCTGAATACATGCTAGAGGATATTTGAAGAGAATGTGGACAGCTGAACTTTACCAGTACCTGCTTTCTCCGAAAGGGGAACCCCAGTCGTCTCTGCAAGGAAAGTGGATTCGTTAAATGTAAACACTAATCAAACAAACAAGAACATTCAATTAGAGGATCAGACGATCAGTTGTTTGATGCATAAAAAATAGTTACTGAACAGGGGATGGAAAATCAGTTCACCCATTAAGATTGATTTAGGAGTGAAACAAACAAAAAGAAAACACTTACCACCCTGTCCCAAATTATAGATCGTTTTTGCTTTTCTACGTACATAGCTTTTACTATGCACCTATATATACGATATGTCTAGATACATAATAAAAGTTGTGTATCTAGAAAAGACAAAACGGCCTATAAATTGAAACGGAGGGAGTACCTAATATGAAATGTAGTCCATATTACAAAGGATAGAGCAATGGCGCAGATCCAATTATGTTTATTACTAGCTCCAGTACATTATAAATCTCATTTTAGCTAAGATTGTACAGATCAAGGTAAGGATTGTTCTTATATATGATATTTCCCAATCTACAGTAAAATCGCCTTCTCAAAGTGTCAAACAACAGGCATCGAATGCCACAATTTTGGCTCACAACTTCATATCTATAGAGTAACTTGTGCACGAATGAAGTAAACTAAAAACTTACAGCATTTGGCCTTCGTCCACGCAAGCTCTTGGTTACTACCATCTGCAGAAGTTGGTTAAACCCCCAAAAAAAACTGTTACTGCTGCTGATTGAAGAATACGAAGAGTATATTATTGTGTTGTATTAGAGCCTCGTATAAGTGAGATAAAGATCATAATAAACCTTCACCAGTCATTGATCATGGTACTAATCAAAATAGACACTAATCAAGTGGAAATCACAAAGTAGTTTTTATGAAGATAGTCCTGGAAGTGTAGGCTACATGGAGTAATGTTGTTTATGGAAAAGAAGACCAGAATAGATTTCAAAAAACTAGCTCAGATTAGTATTTAAACCTTGAAAGTATTTGAGCAGTTGGCTTGGTACACATCCAATTAATTGGACCACAAGTGAATCAAAATTAAAGGAACAGTTTTGTCTCCCATCTAATTTCAATAAAAGTCACCTCATCTCATGCTTTTGCTCAACTAGTTGTAAGCTTATGAGTCCAAAGATCTAGCACTTATTAGAGCAATGGAGAGAAAAAATGAAACAACAAGGTGCACTGAAAAGCCCTTTGATAGTTACATTTCTTCAAAATATCAATGTCGAACGACCAAATGAAGCTAAAAACAAATTCCAGTGTCAACATGAAGAGAACAACAATATACCTCGCAATGTCTTCTGAATACATTTAATACATTTTTGTCACCAACAACAACTTCAGCATGTTTTCTGATTAATACTACCCACTGAAATGAGTTGACAGATGGACCCAGAAGTCAGAATACGGCTCTCAGCAGGCATTGAAATATATATAAGAAGAAGAAAGGTCAGAAACTAATAACCTGAGATCCTTTCCTCCATTTATCCTTTGGAATGACATGAGACATTTTTTGATTATAACGCTTCTCCGTCTTGTCCACGAAGCTGCAAGACTAACTTATTATATTAGAGAATAAATAGTTAAATATTAAAGATTGTGGAGAAAATCAAAATGAACAAACAAGAAATTGCATGGATTTTTTCCCCATTACCTGTCTACAAAACTTTTAGGTGAAGCCATCAAGTAAGTATATATGGAGCTGAAATTGTAGAGAGGAACACAGCTGCATAAGGGGAAAAAAAGAAAAAAAATGTATCAAAATGTTAAAGTCTATAATAATATAGAAATTGCACACTTTAAATAACAAGTGAGGACGTTGTTATGCCAACATATGAAAGCAAAACACAAACGTGAAATGGAGACACTAGAGAATATTATCAGAAAAGCATACCGAAAGCAGTAAGCAGTACCAGCAGCACAACAGGAGGTCGTGCAAATGCATATGACTAGGTCAATTACCATTACCAAACATCTTTCAATGGTTATTATTAAATCGATCAAGAGTCAGACAATGTACCGTGCATTTCATCATGGACCACTTCACGGAATTTGAACTAGACGTACGAACAAGATGAGTTAACACATGCCGGGAACATCAGAAAGTAGCACACCTACCTATCAGAGAGCAAAACAAAGCGCTGGTTCGCGGGATCCTGAAGCGCGGCAGCAAACAACATCCTCTCTGCCTCGACCATGGTGGCCTCGCCCCACACCACCTGCGGGTCGCAACCATATTCCCCAAGTCAAAATCGTACCAAGCGACCCCACGTCATAGTAAAGGTACAGTAGAAAAATACAGATGGTCCAACCTTGACGCTCCTCGCAAGTTGCCGCCCGTAGAAGTATGGCGATCCCGTGGTGGTGCGGTCGAGCTGGAACCCCGGCGCGGAGTGCACGTACACCGAGAATCTCCCCTCCTCGCCGTTCTGCAAAAACATGGGGCGCGATCAGGCCACCAATTAATAAATATAAATCGAATATAGATAAATAGACGCGAGGGGTGGATGAACGGATCGATCAGGGGGAGCTTGATTGATGCTTACGCGGAAGAAGGCGTCCCAGAGGAAGTCGAGCGGCACCCCCGCGCGGACGAGGAAGAGGAAGGCGACCTTAGCGGGCCCCGCGGAGGGCGGCGGCGCGGCGGGCGGGACGCCCAGGAGCGGCTGGGTGTGGAGCAGCGCCACGAAGAGGAGCACGAAGGTGAGCGGCGCGGCGAGGCGGAGGCAGAGGCGGGCCCGCGCGCGGCGGCCGACTGGCGGGAGCAGCGCCGCCACGGACGCCGACCGCTTCACCGGCATCTTCGTGCGCGTATGTATGGCGGTGGCCTGCTACTGCTGGCACTGGCAGGCCTCCGTGGCATCCAAAACTGAAAGGCGGGCGGCGGGCAGGGAGAATGGGAGGGAGAGGACCAGGGGTTAAAGAGGAGATGGCGTTTACCGCGGGAGGCCGAGGCGCCAGGCGGGGCGGGGGGGTTTGCGTGCGTGGCGTTTCGTGGCGGGCGCGCGGCCGCGGCCGCGGGGCGGCGGCGCGTGGGAGAGACGGTGAAGGCCTGACGGGTTGTGTTGTGTGCGCGCGCGGGCGGTGCCGTGGTGGAGTGGAGGCGGACGGGAACCGCCGAGCCGGGAACGGACGAACGGGGAGCGATGCGATGGTGTGCCGTGCCCGCCCGTGGTTGTTGTAGTGGTGCGTGTTGGGGTGTTGGACTGAGGTTTTCGGTGCGGCTTTCCGGTTCGGCCTCGTGACGCGCACGGCGTCCCTGTCGGGCGCTGGTGCGTATGGCGCCGCTGCGGGTGTGGATGGGGACTGGAAATACGCAGACGCGGCGGTGTGGGGCCCTCCTGGGATCTGGAGCGCGGGGTACAGGTTTCAGTGAGATTAGTTAGGATTCCGCTTGTTTTTATCTCACCGTTTTGGTCGGTCTAGCATGTGGAATTCGAAGTAAAACAAAAACAAATAACGACCTTCGCCATCGAATCTCTTGGTTACTACTACTAATTAAATAAAGAGCTCATATGAGGAGACAACGAAGCACAAAAGAGAGAACCTCAACGGGATAGTTGTGTGTCCTTTTACAGCGGTGAAACCATCAAACTGGAGGACGGAGAGCATCTGTGGGTTATATACAGCATGCAACCATATAAACAGCCGGAGTGCGCCCGTGAAGGAAACGAAGGGAAAAGGAAAAGATTTGGCCATCGCACTCGCAGACTTGCGCTTGGGAGTTTGGACTCTCAAGTCGTCGCCCAGGCCGCCAGGCGGCCAGGCTCCGCGCGTTGCCGCTTCGGCCAGGCCAGGGCACCTGTCGCTGGTCCTTTGACACCTTCACTCGTCGGCGTCGTCGCCCATTGGTCAGAATGGATTGGTCAGAAATCAGAATGGATTGCACGGTTCCTCTCATCAGTCCATCCGGCTTCACAGGCAAAGCTGATCGCTTCAGTTTAGTCCATCCGGCACACATGAAACAGACGCGGACTCAACCGTTTCCTCGACTTGACATGCGAAAGCAAACGTGAATTTGCAGCGAAAGTGGCGAAACTGAAATTTCAAGGAGCGAAGCAGGTGGTGGCGAGGTGACAATCGACGCAGGCTACATGCCTGTCACAGACGATGTTCAGCCGGCAACAAGCTGTCGCCTGGTTGTTTCGCGTGTGTTTGGCCTTGCGAAAAAATAAAATAATATATTAAAATGTACTTCCACATGCCAATGTCTTAGCTTCCACCAAGTAGCACAAGAGATCAGTCATGCGCTTCTGTTCCAAAAGCGACAGGCCGCACTGCATTTCACTACCTTGGATGCTTTATTTAATAAGAAACTCTGAAACTTCCATCACATAAGTATAGCACATAACTCAAAAATACCACGTACTAAAACATGGAGACAGCTTATTGCTTTATTAGACTTCATGGATTACCACAGCACTCCGGCAATGCAGCCACGGGATTGTAAAAAAACTGGACGGGTTTTCTCCACGCACTAAATAAACAGGATAGTAGGTGCTAACCCAGGCTAACAGGTAACAGCTGGGTTCAGAATAACAAATGCGACATCGATTATAATAAAAGGGTGCTTTATTTGCACGTCCACGCACATCTGCATCATCATTTGGTGGCGATGAACAGCCCCCACCTCTGCTCACCAGCAGAACTCCTCTGCAGTTTTGTCTTCCAACCCTTCACAATATCATCATAGTCCTCCTGGAATATATAAGTGAATTTCAGAGTTAGAGATGTCAAAGCCGCAAAGAAAGGATTCAGGCTACTAATCTGCATGCCAGTCCATGATTGGAGTTCTTAAGGGCTTCTGTTGAATCACCTGGGTGAAGTCAGACAGGAAATCATCCTTGTTCTTTTCAAATTTAGCTAATTCCTTCTCTAAAACACCAAGGAACTGAAATGCAACACAGAGCACGGATTAGCATAGTAGAAACTTGTGTTCATCCAAACATCTTAGTGGAAATGCTAGTTACAAAGAAACCTGATCAGTTCGATCTTCAGCAATGACATCACGGAAACCAGCACTCTTCAGCATCTGGATAATATCATGAACAAGCAAGAGTCAGTACTGCATTTTGATCAAAGTAACTGTGTAGTATAACCATATAAAAATGCACAACTAAGCACCTGTCCATAAGCCTCCACATCATGTAGGTCATAACCTCTCTGCTTGATGTATGCTGCAAATTCCTCTGATGGTTTCCCAGGAAACCTGCAGTAGTCACTGATAAGGACCTTGCCCCCAGGCTTCAGCCATTTGAAGAAACTTTTGAACAAAGAGGGTTTGTCCTGCAAAACAAAAGCAAAATCATGTCAGCCTAAACAATGTTACTCTGAACAAAACAAGCGTGCAGCATTGATGTTGGGACTGTGATTATAAAAACAAATGTCTCTCAAGTATCATTACGTATAATCTAGAAACTTTAAGATGCATTAAGTGTGGCTTATTAAAAAATAAACATCTGAAACAGGATATATTTGAAACATACATGTATATGAAGGATAGTATCACGGCTGTATATGACATCAAATGTGTTGTCTGGGTATGTCTTCGTGGTGCAATCAGCAACTTCAAACTCAACTGAGCAACTGCGCCCAATGGCACGCTCAAGTGCAAATGATACCATGTTTATGGAAAGATCAATACCAACAACATGAGCATCATAGTTTTCGGCCATATAAAAGTCACCTCCCCCAATTCCACATCCAACATCAAGCACCTTATGTCCAGGTTTGAGATCCAACTTATCCACAAATTCTTTTGTAGTCTCTGTTGGACAGTGATACATAACAACATTTAAGGGCACAATGCAAATAGAATATCACAAGTTCAAAATAAAAGGGATTGCCACACTCACCAATTCCACCAGTGCTCACATAACCTTCTCCAAAGATGCGCTCGTAACGTAATATTCCGCTAGTTTTGTACTGCACATTGTCCAAAAATCTTTGAAATCCCTTATCTTCTGTAGAATGAACCTTTTGCCATAGCCAACATATCTATAAACCATAGAGATATGTCCATCACTGACCTCAGTTGACCATGGTTAACACATGTGTATATGCATGGACAAACAAAAGTACCTGGTTTTGGTTTTTCTTGTTTTTAACATAAGCACCGATACACTTGCAAGTAACCAGAGAAAGTTCGAAGGAATTCCCATCTTGATCAAAGCTATGGCACTCTTTGAAAACCTATTTATGGAATAAACAATCAATTAGTTATTTCAAAGAAAATGGTATTGAAAATAATAAGAAAAATAAAGAGTGAAGCAATAATCCTTCATATAATAGCCGAAATTTTTACTGACAAGCCTGAATGTCTGATATAAGTGACAAGCAAAGGGGAAGAGCAGTAGGACAATATGCCTTCTCACCTTAGTATAAAAACTTGGTTCCCGATAGTGTGTCGGATTAACTTTCCTTTTTGAATCTCCAGATTGATGGAAGCAAGATTCCCTAAAGAAGATATAGCCACCAACATTCAACCATTTTACCATTCTTTGAACTAGCTGCTCAACCTACATTAAGAGACGAAAGTTGGAAAATTCAAGAGCCACAAACTTCTAATATATTTCAGTCAGCACATTCGAACAACAATTTTGACTCATTTAGAAAACAGCTGCCCTTCAGAATTATTATGACACAGATCCATTTTACAAGGACAACCTCAGCGAGAAGATCAAGGAATACTATGGAACTAGAATTTGTTACTTATTCACAGCATGTCTCATCCATTACCTCTTCATCTGAAAGATACATCAATAACCAATTTGAAAATATCAGATCGATGGAGTTAGCTTGAAGCACCAGGTCCTGGGATGTCACATCAGCACACATAAAGGATGCATTCTTGTAGTGACCATTAATGCTTTCATTCTGCAAGAAAAAAAATTGCATAAAAGAATTGAATAAATCAACCATACAAACATCTAGAAATCAGATGAAGGCCATCATATTTCAAGTTGGCAAGCACAAAACTTGTATATCAAGACATTGCACATTTCAATACCTTTTTAATTGCACTTTCAATAAAATCCAGAGCAAGAATATTCCCAGCTGTTTTAGCGAGTTCTCCAGTGAAACGGCCTATTCCAGCACCAAGCTCCAGCACAGATTTTCCTTCATATGAAGGAAGCAAAGACAGGACCTACAGAAAAGGACCAGAAGCATATCAAAATGTTTAGCCCTAAAAGCCAAAGTGCTTTCAGGAACACCTTCTCTTACAAATCAGAATGATGTCTGCTAAATAAAAAATTAATATCATTTCAAGCAACCAGTGGACATAGCATACTTATGTCGCAGTTCCTGAAAATAAATTAGAACTGGTTCAATTTTTAAATCAAATAATCAATAAATGCAAGCTTCAATTTTCAATTCCTATTTTTCTTTACAGAGGTTATATTAAACTAAGAAATATCATAGTCAGAACATGAAATGGATCAACACATGCTTACAGAAAAAGCACCGAGCAAATATGAGTTTCTTTGGAAAGCACTTAAAGATACAACCTACAAGGAAAATCAAGGTATCTATCATAAAACACAATAAAATAAAGTCATGGTGTAAATTTGCTTTTATTTCAGCTTTTTTATATATTCCTAATATTTAACAGTCTAGAACGTGGAAAATAATCAGTACAATATTTTTTCTTATGGTCATAATTAGTACATGTATAGTTTACTACATCAGAGTAAAAGGCCTAGCAAAATTCAGCTACTCAAAAGAAGCAAACATTTACCTTGTTTGTTATTTTGAGTTTAACTAATAAACTAATTATACTTCACATCACAAATTAAAGGACCTGGAGTAACATCAAGTGAGCAGGCAATTTTCTTGGCCAAGTCCAGTTTTCACTCTTAAAAGAAAAAAAAAAAAAAAATATGTCAACGTAACCCTCTCCCATCATAATCATAGCACACTTGTAAGCAAAAAATAAAATAAAATAAATATCTATCAACGTAACCCTCTGCAATCACAATCATAGCACACCTGTGTTGAACAACACAAATTGCCGACCAGTTTATCCAAAAAAAAAGTGCATCCGCTTCAGAGATTGCCATGTGATACTGCGGAGCAAAGGCTGTGTGTGGCTCACACATACTGCCCAGATCCAAGCAGATGGATCCCGAAAGGCACTAAACAAGTATGTGCACCTAAATACCTACTAGTAACAAACAATGGAATGGATAATAGGGGAAATCGTCATCTCGGAAACAATCACCTCGGGGCGCTCCTCCTTGTCGAGATCGACAGCGCGGGAGTCCAGCATCATGGCCTCGACGGTGAGGTTCTTGGAATGCTCCTCCCAGTAGCTCTTCTGCGCCTGCCTCTCCTCTAGCCCCATCTTCCCTGCAACGGCCCGCAAACAAATCATCGACACAGAACAAAGCAAACCGCACACCATGTGCTCGACACTTCTCCCCATCCGACCCAACAACACGAAAGCGAAACGAGCAGATCTGATCCCCTCTGCACGGATCGACGCGTCGGAGCGCAATAGCTTACCGTTAACAGAAACAACGGCGGCGGTGGGGGCGTCCATCACGGTAAGTCGTTGCGTGCGTTCGTCCGTTCGTCAGTCAGAAATTCAGAACTGAGTTCAAACGAAACGAGCGAGGGATGGCTGTGAGATTAAGATCCCTCGATGGCGAGGCGGGCGCGGGAGAAGCTCCGGGAGCGGCGGTTGAAGGAGCGGCCGCGCTGCTGCATCCACCACCTGATCGCGGCGCGGTTGGGGGCGGAGGGAGACGGTGGCTGCGGCCAGTGGCTTGCGACTGGGAACGGGATCCTGGGAGGGAGCGAAGGTTAGGTGGTGGCATTTATAGGCGGGAACTGGGAGCCGGGAGACCCGATCGACCGTGAGATCTGTGCCCCCCCCCCCCCCCCCCCCCCTCTCTTTTGTCGTTTTGGCTGATCTGTGGCACTGGTTCGGCCATTGACCCTCCCAGCTAACAACTATTAGTTGTGTGGTAAATGGCACTCACCCCGTCCATAAAAGAACGCAACTACATGTTGTGTACCAGTTAAAGTAATTCACGTTTGATCAAATTTTTAGTAAATACTATTCACATTTACAGCTCCAAAATAATTTATTATAAAAATACATTTCATAATTAATTTAATGATATTTATTTGATATCATAAATATTAATATTTTTTATCTATAATTAATCGAACTTAAGATACAAAACCATGATGTTGTGTTAGAATTGTATTCTTTGATGAACGGAGTGAGTAGTTGTGTGGTAGTTAATTGCTAGCTGGGTGGTAGGTAAGACATTAGCTGAGATCTAAATATGTGCTCATGTGTGCGATGTGGTCCTTGTGGCGAAGTCAGCATGGTAAGACGACGATCGACCCGTTGCAGCAATGAAATGGGCGCTGGAGACCTGCTGCCAATTGTCAGACGGTAACCAGCAGGATAGCGGACGGGTGTCGGTGCCAAATATGCAGTGACGAATGCCGGAGGAGGGGACCCTCAAGATCAATGTTGATGGGGCGTTTTCCCAAGAGTCTGGCACGGGTGCAACAGGGGCGGTTCTACGAGGCAACAGCGGAAATTTCCTTGCGACATCGGCTCGATGGTTGGAATCACTGGGGTCTGCCCTTTTGGCAGAAGCAGAAGCACTTTGGGATGGCGTACAGCTCATACCAGAAGGTATCGGGGAGCGCATCAAGTGTAGAGACGGATTCTCAAAAGCTAGTTTCGTCGTGGAACAACAGAAGGAAACACCGGTCCGAGATCACTGCAATCCTGGACACAATTGAGGAGATGTCCTCTAGGTTTACTTCCTTCCGGGTCATGCACACTGGAAGATCGACGAATTTTGCAGCTCACTTGTATGCCCAGCATTCGTCATCTTTTTTTAGATAATTATGTTTGGCCGCATCCACCTAGCTTCCTGCAGAATTGTCTGCAACCCGATTATAATAACGTTGTTTAATGAATGAAGCGAAAGTTTTCCAAAAAAACTATTAGTTGTAAGGGATTTTAAACAATCCTTTAGGCTATCACTTTGATGATTCAGAGCTGATTTGGTTGTTGCTTAAGTTTGTCATGCCTAACCTTAGGTAAATTGTGTCTGTTATAAAAAGTGTGGTGAATAAAATCGAAGCCACAATTAGAAAAAGTTTAGCAATAAAATAAATCTATAACGTGTGGGAAAGGATGTTAAAAAAACATGATGTAACATTAATCATTATAGCAATGAATCAAACAAGCCCTCAATCGTGAATCACCATTTCATCTCATGAAGTGAGGCAAGAAGTGGTGACAATAAAATAAAATCCTCCCAGTACACTAGTACCATATCATGGCCCAGAACCGCAGAACTAACGATTCGATTTGGTAAATCACTGTCGAGATTTGATATTAGTGGGACAAAACACAAGCTAATTCTTAAAAATCAAGACACCGATACTAAGGTTCTTTAGATTCATTAGTTGCTAATAATTAGCTAACTGATAGCTCATAGCTAGAATTAGCTAGCTGTTGAAGGTAATTTTGTCATGATTTTATAGAGTTAAAACAGTCAACAAAACATCTTTTTGGGAGGAAACAAGCAAAGTAATAGTGAATTTTATATAAAATAACATGGTTCCACTTATACATATCATTATTTACTTGTAGGTATGAAAATGAAGGAATTAGGGTGACTGTGGGCCCACATAAGGGGGTTAGCCAACAACCCTATGGTCCACAGCCCCCTCTCAAGCCATGGTGATCCTCCCAACACCCTCACAAGCAATGGATCAAAAGTGTGTTTTCTCTAAACAACTAAAGACGATGTCACATGAATTAAAGGGCCCACAAAGTGAAGAACCGACATGACAAAGTGCCCCAACATGTGCATACCCACAAAGGAAGAAGAGGAGAAGCACCCCCACCTTCGGAGGGTGGCCCCACCTGTCAATAGGGGGTCGGTCGACCCCCCCAGGTGGTCGGACGACCGCCCCCCTTGCTCTACAGCCTTCCACCTTCCTGCATGCAAAGAAACACAACATTAGAAGATCTCAACCATGCATTTTAAGGTGGTTTGATCAAAGTATGGAGGATGGAGAGCACATGGATCCATGAGCCCATACTAAAGTGCTCTAAATGCCCCCTGCCCGCTCACTCTCAAGTCATGACCAAAAGGAGGATCTACTGTCACTTTAGATAAGCGAAGCCCTACTCTAGTAGTAGCAGTAGTACAAAATAGGAGAGAGTGGGGGAAGTGTGGAGAAAGACTTGGTCTGTCGGAGTCTTCTCCAAGTTGTACCTCGGCGGATGTGCTCTTCTTGTAAGTAAACATCTGAGATTCTTCATGGTACTTGATATCTGATTCTGGTAAGTGATATATAACTTATTCTCATTGGTACATCACTTTACTTTAGTATAGTGCTCTGGCTTTACTAAGGGAACTTAGTGGACCAAGGTTAGAGTAGTGAGATATAGTGTAGACGTGGTGTTTAGACTATTCCTTTTCTGTGTATGTTACTTGTCGCATGGATTGTTCGTGGATGCTAGTAGATGGTGACAACCCTATCTAGTTTTTGTAATCCACCACGTGTTTTTAGGCAAGTTATTAAATAGTAGGTGTAACACCTCTAGTGTTACGAGCTCGCTTAGCACTAAGATTACGGTCGGAGAAATAGATCTATTAATATAGTGAGTAGTTATTTAAATATGCTAATAAAATCTTAGCAAGAAAATACGAGAAGCAGATTGCTTGTTGGCACGAAAAATAATTTTTATAAACAAAAATAAAATATAACTTGTAATTGGTACTTAAATGAAAATTTAAGTGCAAGTTTAGTAGATGGAATGCAATCGTTGATTTGGTAAATAGGCGTTGTTCCATGGTATTTCTGATAGCTCAAAGATCGAATTTCGTTAAGACGGCAACGCTTGTAATGATGTTTAAAAGTATCACTCATGGTGAGTTATATTGAATTAACTAGTTGAGTAGTTCTTGGATGTTAGTTCAAAACTAAAAGTTATAATTTTCGAAGTCGGAAACGATAGACAATGACGTGTTAGCATTTAAATTATAGCTAAATTTCTTAAACACTAACTTTATATTCTTGTATCGCTAGTTGCATCATGGTGAGTACTTTGACGTGGAGTGGTTCATAGAATGGTCTAATGTAGCGGGGTTATCCCAAAAATTGCTCGAAACTCGTTAGAACACGCGAAGAACCACGTTTGGTGTTTTGTTCGTGAACCAGCACGCTGCGCGACGAACTCATCTTGGCCTTCTCGTATCTTATTCCCTAGTCGCTCTTTGGTCACGCCGAGTGCTTCCCTAGCTAGATGGTGGCGTGGACTTTGGATTAGTGAGGTTGGTCGAACCTTAACCGCACTGGCTGGCAGCCTTGGCATCGCTTTAAAAAGCGTGCATAGCGCTGGTTTTGGCTGCTCAGCTTGTGGCCGCGGTCACCACGCGCCTCAGCGCTTCTGCCGTGTCTGGCCGCGCCGTGGCCTAGCCTACCGGCTGAGCGCCTGGCTGAGCCTAGCCACCGTCGCCGCGCTACTGTCACCGGTCGCCTGGTCGCACTCCTACCGTGCCTTGCCCTGCTGGCCAGCCATGTGGCCATCGGTTGCACACCGGGCCCGGCATGACCGTAGCTGCCCCCTGCTGTGCGCAAGCTGTTGCCGACCGTGGCGCTGCTCTCGCGCACTGGCATAGGTCTACGACCCGGCTGACCAACACTGCCTGCCTTCTCACGCGCCGTTGTTGCCTCGCTGCTGCGTTGCTGGGCGCGCATGAGCAGTCGCGCTGAGCCGCTGAGCACGCGTCGTGTCACGTCCCATCGCACCGTGCTCGGCCAGCGCCACGCATACCTACCACCATTATGCACGTCACGACACCACGTGGCTGCTGCACGCTGTGTCGCTGCACCTGCGCTGTGGCCGTCTCGTCAGGCTACTACCTTGTCGGGTTGTCGATGCCCTTCCCGCGGGCTAGCCGTTTCGCTTCAGCCGCTCGCTCTTGGACAAGGCCAAGTGGTCTCGTCGTGTAGCCGCCCATCTCCGCCGTCCGATAGCGTAGCCGCCTTGTCACTCGCATGACCCAGCAAGACAAATCACGCCCTGTGTCGTGCGCTGTGCCCTACCGCGCCCTCGTGTTGCTGTCGGCAGGCGCTGTTCAAATTCACAACGCGTGGTCCGTCTCGAGTCGATTCTTCACGTCAGTAGCTAGGACGCACATTGTCACCAAACAACAAAAAGAATGCTTTCTGCAGATGCAATAAACCCATAAGCCAGATAGCCTTGCATATCCTTAGAGTCTTTTCTTTCCTCCTGTCGGGTAAGTCTTGCTGAGTACAATTGAGTACTCAGGATTTTATTTCCCTCTGTTGCAGGTAATAGGTGGAGGCTAGAGCTGACCTTTGTGTGTGTGGATTCCTCCTGGTGGGCTCAGAAAGGTTTTTCTTTACGCTGCGATCATAGTTTTCATTTATAACTCTCACTAAATGTTTTTATACATGAAAGTTTATAATCTGTTGTCATAGTTTACATATCAATGCTTCATTATGCCATGAATAGATAATTATTTCCGCTGTAATTCTGATCACATGTTTATATTCCGATGTTACATTAAATTGTTTATAACTCTGATAATATGATTACATTCCGTTGTTATAACAATAAATATTATACTCTGATGTTGTATTAAAAGTGATGTAAGAAATGGTTAAGAATGATGTAAGCTTATTTCTCTCATTTGTGATCCTAATGAAAAAATATGGATTTTTGTGGTTCTCCCCTAGGGTGTGCCCGACGGGACCGCATAATTTGGTGTCCTCCTTTGGGTGCTTAGTGTCTAATGGAAGACGAGCACTCCTGTAAGGCATCAGATTAGACGGTTCTGCCACAGGTGGTATCAAAGCATAAATGATAAAATAAAGCTTCAAAAACTTTTTCTAAAATAAAATTTGACAACCTATTTTTGCAAAAAGTTAGGGCGTACAATTACGAAATTATATAAGTAGCCCTATTACTATGGTTATGTATCCAGGATAGATGGCACTCTGCTGACTTAGGTAGGCTTAATCAATTTTTCTGCATGTACACTGACTCGAGCATAGTTCGATAGTATCAACTAGCTACAGGGAGAGAATGATGTGCCAAAATCTGAGAACGGTTGCCCTATATGTAGGCAACAGTGGAAGGACGTATAGGACATGCATTCATGCATATCTTGTTTGTGCATTGTAGTACCCGTATTGCTTGCAGATACGCCCTCCCATATGTGTCAAGTGTGTCGTATTGTGCATGACTGACTCGTTCCTGTTCTGGAGTTACCGCTGTGTAAGAAAAATGGACCCTAGGCCCATTTACTTTGGATTTTGGTGTTTGATGACCAACACAACCAAGTTGGACTAATGAATTTGCAAGTGATTGTTTTGTAGTTTAATAGGGTGCAAGACATGACTTGGATGAAGGCGACATGATGTAACACCCAAAAATTTGCATCAATTTAAAATAGTTGAAATTGATTTTTAGTGCCATTTTGTGAGCATGTCAATATAGTAAAATAAATAACTTTGTGAAACTAAAATTTATCCTAAGCTTAGGAACAGGTTGCTGATGCATATTTTATTATGTTTGACTGGTTTTTGTAGCTTTTGAAAAGAGTTCCATGGTATTTCTGACCTGCTGATTCTGCATCACGTCCAGAAATTTTCAGAATTGCTTATCTCTTACATATTGGTGATGTTTCATGTTGGATTACAGATGTCTGGCCATGGGAGAGGTGCTCCACCACCCCCACCACCACCCA